GAGTCTTCTGCTGTTGTAGCCCATCCGCCTCAAGGTTATGCGTGTTGTGGCTTCACAAATGCTTTGCTGCATACCTCGGTTGTAACGAGTGGTTATTTCAGTCACTGTTGCCCTTCTATCAGCTCGAACCAGTCTGGCCATTCTCCTCTGACCTCTGGCATCAACAAGGCATTTCCGCCCACAGAACTGCCGCTCACTGGATGTTTTTTCTTTTTCGGACCATTCTCTGTAAACCCTAGAGATGGTTGTGCGTGAAAATCCCAGTAGATTAGCAGTTTCTGAAATACTCAGACCAGCCCTTCTGGCACCAACAATCATGCCACGTTCAAAGTCACTCAAATCACCTTTCTTCCCCATACTGATGCTTGAACTGCAGGAGATTGACTTGACCATGTCTACATGCCTAAATGCACTGAGTTGCCGCCATGTGATTGGCTGCTTAGAAATTAAGTGTTAACGAGCAGTTGGACAGGTGTACCTAATAAAGTGGCCGGTGAGTGTATATACTTTTGTTGGTTGAAGTTACAATCATGATAGTCTGACTTGTTTTCTGTAAAAGCCTGGTATGTAAAATAGATGTTGTGTGTGCTTGCAACACCTTATATGCACTATGTTCTCAGACTGATATTGATCATCAGAGGATTATTTGTGTGTGTGCTTGAAAGAAAAGAAAATACAAAGATTTTGTATGTTAGCTTGAAAGAAAAATGGTTAAGTTAATAATGGGCCAGGTGTGGACTAGAAACAAAGGTGGACCCACCAAAAGCCCATGAGGAATCAGCTCTGCCTGAGGCACATGGAGGCAATAAACGCTAATAAAGCTTGTTTTTCAAAAATGTCTGGCAAAACAAAGCATTCAGCATTTTTTTAAAAATAAAAATCAAAGGTCAACAATTCCCTTTGTGCCATTTGTGTTTTATATTGATTTCTAAACTCGTTGTAGCCAAACCAGAACTGTGCACAAGAAGGTATTTGTTTATACACTACCATTACACTACCATACCAGTTTGGGGTCAGTAAGATTTAAAATTCTTTTTTTTTTTTTTAAAGAAATTTGTTTTAGTTTTTAAATTACCAATTTTTAGGATGCATTAAATTGATCAAATGTGACAGTAAAGACATTTATAATGTTACAAACTGTTTTCAACACTGAAAATAAATTTTAAATTGTAATATCTTACAATATTTTTATGTTCAAGACATTTAGTTTACATTTATTTTTAGTGTATTTTTGATCAAATACGCTGTAATATAACAGCTTGTACAGCCAGTTCAGAGGATGAGCAAGTTATTTCATTTTGATTGAAGATTAAAAAGAGATTTTTTGGGAATAACATGCTCTGATTAATCGTCCACAATCAGACCAGGAATGTGCCTTAAGAAAGACTTAAATAAGTTTCCATGTTGACTTTAAACAGAGCTCTATACAATTGAATGAAAGAAGACCTGAATGATTCCCTCTTTTTTTTTCTTACTGTTTTTCTCGATTGCTATGACACTAAACCCCATTACCTAAACCAAATTCTCAATAGCCTGAACCCATTTTTCGAATAATTCACTCTTTCTGCAAAACGGTGAACAAGTTCAGGCAGTTAAACACCATTTGCAAATCTCATGCACACTTTTTGCAAAACACATTCTCACTCACTAAAACACATTTTGCACTGTGATGCACTTGTGTGGCAAAACGGTAAACACAAGTGGCAAAACGGTAAACAGAGCCACAACACGGTTGTCATCGTTTGCACAAAACGACTCAAAATTGTTCACACTTGTTTCTAATGATGTGATCAAACCAATTGTGAGAGGAGGAAGAGTTTGGCTGCATCTGAAATCATATACTTCCCTACTATATAGTAGTAGGCGAAAAACAGTATGTGACAAAATGTCCGAATTCACAGTTTCTCCTATAAGTGTAGGCAAAAATTACCCGGATGACCTATACTTCTTCCGGCAAGAATCTGAAGAGTGCATTTGATGGACACTTTACTATCCCATGAGGCCACGGGAGAGGATTTGTGAATGGCAGTGAAGCGATGTAACTGACGCTGGTAGGTCACATGATAATAACAGCATCACGAATGTAGTACATCCAGATTACATTCATACTACTCACATTCATACTATAGAACATACTTTTTTAGCGGTTGTGAGGTAATTACTTATTCAAAATAAGTACTCAAGAGAGTATGCGATTTCGGATGCAGCCTATGTGTAAGAGGTGGTGGACGAGGAGGAAGAGGATGAGGACGAGAAAGAGCAAGGTGTGATGTCAAACTTTTTTTGCCTGCATGGCAAGAGACAACATTTCCTGTGATTTGGACAAGGTTCTCAGGCTGGACACAGCACGAAGACGTGATGTGCTGAGGCAGAGAATGAATCTCTCACTGATTTTGATTTTGCAGTTGCACAACTATTTTTTACTGTAACATGCTTTTCATTTAGAGTTTTCTTTGACCTTTTGTGCTTTTGGACTATTGTATTTCTTTCAGTATGCAAGTGCTGAATATACAGAAATTCAATACTATTCAATATTCAATATAATACTATTGCAGTTCATAGAGTATACAGCATATTTTTTTTACGTAATTGCAAAATTTGTTTACTGTATACATTATCATTTTTTTCTGTAACTACATGCTCTGGATGCTGTGTTCTCCATTTTTTTGATGTTGGTTCTAATGAAAGCTCTGTAGTGTTTACGTATGGCTATTGACTGATGTGTGTATGATCTAGGGTCTTAACTTCAGAAATAGAAAATACGGGACAATCATGGTTCTTTATAGGAAAATAAGGGGCACCCAAAATATTTGTTCTGTATCACACAGTGTTTGTCATTTCAGTGTCTGCAGTTAAGTATGTGTATAAAAGGTTCTCAGACATAAACACATTTGTTTTGTTTTTGTTTTCACATTTATTTATTTACAGTTTAATTCTAAAATTAATTTTAATGTCACACAAAAACTGTCACATTACACACAAACCATCGTTCAAAATAATAGTATTTATTCAATTCAATTCAATTCAAATTTATTTGTATAGCGCTTTTCACAATACATATTGTTTCAAAGCAGCTTTACAGAAAGTGCATTTCAGAAATGTACATAGAAGAATATAGTTAGTCAATCATCATGTAGGCCTATTAATTTAGGGCATAACATATCGCCGGCGTTGAGTCGTCTCTTCACAGGCGTCGAGTCGTCTCATCGCAGGTGTTGGGGCATCTGAAGTCTCCGTGAGAGGCTGGATACAAACTGGAGCTGACGAACGCTATTTACCTCGGGACTATCTCTGTTATCTCGGGACTACTAGCGTCCCGAGATAACAGCAGAAAAGCAGATGGGAAATAATTAGCGTAGCTGCTGTTCATAATATTAATGCATTTGATCTGATTCAACAGTAGTACAGAAGGTAAGCATTATGTGAATGCTTGGCTGAAGAGATGCGTCTTTAATCTAGTTTTGAACTGGGAGAGCGAGTCTGAGCAACGAACAATATCAGGAAGGCTATTCCAGAGTTTAGGAATTTATCTGAAATAGAAAGCTTTTGTAACATTATACACTGACTACATTGCAAAAGTTTGGGGTCAGTAATTCTAAAAAAATGTTTTCAAAGAAATTAAAGAAAGTAGCCTAATAGCCTACATTTATTCAGCAAATATGCATTAAATTAATCAAAAGAGACAATAGCGACATTTTTAAAGCTTTCTATTTCAGATAAATCTCCTTTGAAATTTATATTCATCAAATAATTCATCAAAAGAATTTATTAAACATTAATAATCAGAAATGTTTCTTGAGCAGCAAATCACAGATCAGCATATTATTCCAGATTATTCCCTCGGGTAGATTGCATGTTTTCTTGCGTGGCTGGATGGATGTTGGACTCCTGTACAATAATCACTTTGTTTGAATTCGCCAAAACTGATTTGCCGAAATCAAAACCCAGACAGTGAAAGGGGTTTGCCGTTAGCGCGAGTCCGGATCCAACCGGAAGCGACCAGACAGCAGAGAGCGGATTCTGTTCGCAAATCAAACAATGATTTGTCCTAAAAGAATGATTAATTTTCAATTTAGAGTTTGTCAATCGTATGGTCTGATGCGCATGAGGGTGGGCTGTGATTGGATGATGACCGGTGTCGTGATCATTCTCAAGTGTCGTGTTGCTGTTGTATCAGTCAATGGTGGTTAGATCAGCTGAGCGTAGCAGTCAATAAACAGGACAAGGGAGGTCACGTACGGGACAAATAAATTAGGGCCAATATACGTCCGGCTAATACGGACAGTTGGTAACCCTAGTATCATCTGAAAGCTTTGTTTCATTTTGAGAACAGGTGAAATGATTTCCAAAACAAGGGTCAGTGGTTTTGTGAATGTGGTTTGAAGATTTGGTTTTGTGTTTAAAGTTGAGAAAATGGGTGAATGTTTCAAGAAGTGTGTCTTAGCAAATGTGGAAAAAATGTAACAATCCCAAAAATAGTCGTTGTGTTCGTTAGTTTCCATGAACACACACACACACATATGTGTGCACAAAAGGTCTTACGATGGCGCTGTTATTTTTAGTAAAAGGATTGGTTTGTCTAAAAGCTGCAGTCACATTAAAGATCTGTTCAAACATGTGACAGAAACCCTGCTTTAAAAGCCATATTTTCTTTATTTGTGTGTAATGTGTGAGAGTGCTTGTAATTTCTGCTCTACTAGCTTCACCAAACTGAATTGCAAAAGTACTAAACAGGTTTTGCATATACTCCCCCTGTCTGCCATTTATTCAAACAGACCAACAGACAAACTCATGGCATTGATTGGGTTTTCATAACTCATTTGTAAGTTGCTTTGTATAAAAGTATCTGCAAATAAGATGTGGAAGTGCCACAGGGGTCAGTTGATTGTACACTTTAAGTTGAGATAGGAGAAAGTATTTTGTAGTACGACTTTAAAGGTATGGCCTCAATGTGGATGAGAGAGAGCACGCATACGATTAATCCTTTTTGTTTCCATCAGGGTGAGAAGGCACCTGGGCGATCAGGAAGTCGATCCAGTAATATATCTAAGGTAACACACACACCCACACCATCATTATTCAAAGCAACCCCAATAACAACAAAATAAGTGTATATTATGTTGCACTTTTGTCACCATCTGTTTCAGGCCAGCAGTTCCACCCAAGGAGCCGCTCTGAACAGCGTCTCTCAGACATCAGTTACAGCCTCCTCCCAGGACATATGCAGGTGTGTGTGGTCATAGACCGTTGCCGTGAGATGTTCATGATTGGTGCTTTGCTCACCTACATGTTTGCAGACTTTGCACACCATGTGATTTTATTAAATAAGTTCTGGAATGTCAGTGTGTTGGATGTAAATGTAGTGCAGTCCAAAAAGTCTGAGAACACAAGTTTGCAATTCATCTTTTTTTCTATTTAAACCATAAAATAAGCAGACAGATAGATGATTTTGAACAACGAATAGAAATATTTAGCATTCTGCAATATTTCTTGGTCCCTAATCAAATTTGTTATTTGTAAGCAAATGTTTTCTGTTGATAATTTAATTTGTAATAAAATATTATAATTGAATTACTTATAAATTAATTAAAATTAAAAATAGAATAATATTTATAAAACATTTTGTATTAAATTAAATTAAGAATGCAAAATAGAAAAATAATGTAGTCTTGTAGTCTCAGACTTTGTGTGTATGAATGCATAACTGAAGGTATGTTAAAGAAATTACATTGGGTTTGGAATGCAACTTTTTTTTTTCTGGGGTTCTGTATTAAAAATAATTAGTGAAGAGTGAGTTCCAAGGAGAAATTAGGCCAATGAGAGGAAAAAAATCCACAGATTAAGAAATTCACTTTTTATTTGTCCATTATGTTTTCATGTCAGTCATTTCATGCTCTGTTGTGTCTTCTTCATCTCTTTTGTTTTGTATGTGTGTGTTTGTGTTGTGCAGCTCTAGTGGTCACGCTAAACTTGATGTAGATGGCTCAGATCAGACTACACCCGTCATGCCCATAAACCCGGCCTCCGATCCCGCCCCCACCACAAAACGGCAAGTCAAGCGTCGTGTTCGAAAGCGACGGGAGAGCACCGGGTCTGTTGGGTGTGCCAAGGAGTGCGTGGGCCAGACGAGACATTCCCGATCGCATAAGCAAGTGCACACACACTCTGACTCATCCTCAGAAGACGAGCAACGCTGTAGAGAAGCTCGTTCTTGGAGCCGCGAGAAAGCGAGACGGAGACGCAGTGGCAGCCGACACACGCAAACGCATCCCCGTGAGGAACAGGACGGCATCGAACTCATGTCTGTCAACTCTGACGAGGGACAGAAAGAGAACCAGCCGCCTCTGTGCAAGGATCCCGACACCAACGCCCACAAAAAGTTGTTGTCAAAAAGGGAGGAGCGTGGGGGCCAAAGCCAGGCAGCCAATCACAGGAAAGGGAGTGAGCATGGTACTAGTAGGAGTGGAAGTGAGGAGGAGGAGGAGCCTATTACAAAGACATATGAGGAGCGAGATTCAGGAGATCCAGATATGTCTGTCCCATCCCCCTGTAAATGCACTAATCCCACCAATCAAAATGGCGCCACGCAACAAGCATCCACTGATGATGAACAAGAGGTGTGCAGGTGAGAAAGCTGCACACTCCCTGAAAACTACTGCCTTGATCAATACAATCATGTACATTTTACAGCAGGGGTTTTCAAGGGAGTGACAGGGGGTGCGTGGAAAAGTCCACAGGAAAAACTGTAAAAAAAAAAAGAAATTAATAAATTAGATTCAATTAATAAAAAATGGGATTAAAATAAAAAAGTAGTTAGTTATTAATCTATTAAATAGATTAAATTAAATTAAAATGAATACAATTTTTGATTAATAAAAATAAATAAAAATAGATTGAAATGAAATAAATATACAAATAATTTGACAGTAAATTACTATATTGAGAAGGAAAAAATATATAATAATGTAACTTAATAGAAAACTCATTTTAGATTAATTATATATTTTTTTCAGTGTATAAAAAAAATTGATCCATTTTAAACTTTAGGGTGACGGTGCCTCACAGGAGGATGATCATATCTGGGTGTTTTATCTTATTTCCATTCATTACTTAGCACTTTATTTTAATACCATAATTATTTTTTATTTTGTTTGTTATTTATTATTGTTGTATATATTTCTTCTTCTTGCCATTACTTGTTCTGTGTATAATGCGTTGGCAATAAACACAATCATGCTAGTCAAGTATTTCTAAATTGAAAGATTGAATTGAAATTGACATGGATGTAAAAGAGAGGTTGAAGGAGTGAGAGGTTGATCTGTTTTTGCTTGTGCAGGATCTGTCACTGTGAAGGTGACGAAGAGTGTCCACTCATCACCCCCTGCCACTGTACAGGAAGTATGCGTTTTGTGCACCAGACCTGCCTGCACCAGTGGATCAAGAGTTCCGACACACGCTGCTGTGAGCTGTGCAAATATGACTTCATCATGGAGACACACCTCAAACCTTTGCGCAAGGTAACACACACATATGCAACTCTATGAACAGCTCAGACCCTGTTTTATTGAACACATGTGGTGTTTTTAAAGATTGGAGAATATATATATACTACTAAACAGTGAAATTAATTGTTCAGAAATGTACTTTTTCATATATTTTACAAATTACAATATACACGGAACAAGATTAGCTTATTTCAATTAGCTGTGTGACTGCCTTTGAATTTCATTTATCGCCTTGGTTGTAAAGTCCCTCCCCTTTGAGAGATTATCCAATCATCAAATAGAGAAGCCCGGCTTCCAGTTGCAAAATAAATAGTATGCATTAAACAAAAATACAGTGTTATGTTAACCATAACTGAAGCTAAAGTCAAGCAAAATTCCCTCCCACCTTAAAATACACTACTGTTTCAAAGTTTAGGGTCCATAAGGTTTTTTTTAAATGTAATACTTTTTTTCAGAAAAGACACATTAAATGAATCACAATTGACAGTGAAGACATTTATAATGTTACAAAAGATTTCTATTTTAAAATAAATGCTTAAATATTTTCTTTTAACTTTTTGTTTATCAAATAATCCTAAAAAAAATTCCATAATATTCAACATTGATAAGAAATGTTTCTTGAGCATCAAATCAGCATGATTTCTGAAGGATCTTGTGACACTGAAGACTGAGTAATGATGCTGAAAATAAATTTTAAAATATTTTCCAATAGAAAACAGTTTCATAATATTACCGTTTTACTGTATTTTTGATAAAATAAATGCAGCCTTGGTGGACATACTATACAGTATAGTATACAATGGTAGTGTTTACTACGCAAAATTCAGATGTACAAGAAATCCGCTCATTAAGTCTGATGTCGTGTCTCATCGTTTCTAGGTCCAAACTCTCATTCAGATGCCAAAAGAAAACAAAGAACGGTGCTAATATACATTCAAGTTGTGATGTAATACTACAGAAAAATCATAATCCTAACATTCATTTCCATACCGAAATCCCAGATGGCCAGACTGGGATTCGTTTTTTATAAATTAAAATATTTGTGTCCGAGATGCTGTGAGCACGGAGACTGTAGTGTACATGGTACATTTTTAAATGCTTAGCTTAAATGTGTAATATGAATAAATACTGCTCATAAACAGCTGTTGCAATAGTATTCTCAAGTGAAATGAGTAGAAGCTTGAACCCGTAAACAGTATTCTGTACATCATTAATGATCATTTTAATGGTGTATCATGTAAGCATCATAATATATATATAAATTAATATGGCAATATAAGCATGTTATTATAGGCCAGGCTTAAAATGCAAACTTGTAATATGTAATAGTCCTCTGTCCTGCACCTAATGATCTTTGGGTTGAAAAATGTTAAAGACCTCTTCCAGTGGACATTTCAGAACTACAAAATATCATTGTACTTTGAACAAATATAATCGAAAAGCACATATAATTTACACTTTCGTGCCTGCTTCCCAAGCTTGATCATCACACCATACTGTGCTGTGTTTCCATAGCGACATGTGCTATCAGACTAATCTTACAAAATTCATACACTACACGGTTGAGTGTATAGTGGATGTACATATTATATATTGTGTGGCAGTACAATCTCTTTCAGTGACTTTCATAATTTTCAAGCGTATTTATGGAACAAAAAACAATAATTTAAAAAAGAAAACTAGCTCATTTATGCCTATAGCACAAATTATGAGCGAGTTACAAATCAACGTTTAAAAGTTAGGGGATTTATTAAAAAAAAGTCCCTTAGTATAAGCAGTAATAATAGTGATGCTTGCCTTAGCAAACACTGCTAATAAAATAAACTCAAGGGTTATTCTGCAGATTTGTCTGAATGTGGAAATATTGTGAAGGCCAGAACACACACATATCCTAGTGCTGCCACATTGTGGCTAAAAAACAATATTACGGGAAGGAAAGATATTAACATTAATTGAAGTGATGCTCCCTTGTTCTCTGTCTCTTCTTTAGTGGGAGAAGCTACAGATGTCTAAGAGCGAGCGACGGAAGATCTTCTGCTCTGTGGCCTTTCACCTGGCGGCTGTGGTGTGTGTCATCTGGTCACTCTACGTTCTGATTGACCGCACGGCTGAAGAGATCCGACAAGGCAAGAACAATGGTAGACACAGTCACACCCACAACTTACACAATAGAATCAGAATGAGCTTTATCCTCCTGGGACCCAAGAATAGACTTTTGTTCACTGTAGTGGACATTATATTTTAGTGAATTTCTCTGACATCATACATGTCACATGACAGAACCTGGGTGTCCTGTAAAGAGCACATCCAGGACTTTTGAGAGATACCAAATGTTTGGAGGTTTCACCATGAAAACAACTTCTCCTTGGTCTTTAAAAATGTCTGACATTAATTTAGTGATCAAATGTAGCATTCTTATGGAAATATGATTTAAATTGGACTACTTTTTCAAATTGTATTTCATAAAACAACATCTCAGGAAAATGTTAAGGGGTTTCAAATAAAAAAAAACTTTGTTACAGAACAGGGCATTGATTTCAAACGTGTCCACTGTAGAGGACATCAGGACTAAAATCATGTTTATCAGGCATTCTGGGAGACACAACAAGTGAATATGGAAATAATTTATACATCAATATTCCTATGAAATATTAGATATTATTATTAAAATGTTGCCAATTATTACTCCAATTTTTACACTTCTTTTTTCATTAAATGTTGCTCCAAGAACACATTGATGTGCAAATTAGATACAGTGTATAGATACATTGCATTGAATGGGAATATTAATTTATGGCCATTTTACCCACATATTGCAAAAAGTAAAATGGTGTATCAATTCATTCCATTATTTCTTTCATAACATAGTTGAGAATAATCTTTATACAAATTTTGGTTGAAAAAATCCTGAAACCCCAAAATTTATTGGTGATTGAAAAAAAAACCCATTGTTTTTGCCTATACATATAATTTCATGTCATTTTATTTTTTAAACAACTTAGTCCTGGCGTCCACTACAGAGGACATAGCATAACGTATGAATAAAATATTATTTTATATATGTGTTTTTTTACCATTTGTTTATTGTGCTCTAAACAGTGTGATGACATGGAAAAAAACTAAATTCAAAAAACTTTTTTTTTCTGGGTCTCAGGAGGATATTGCCATGTATGTTTAAACATACGAGGAATTTGTCTTGGTGACAGATTTTTTTTTATACACGTATAAAAATACACAATAGTTAATATTTTTATGCAAAGGTATAAATGTTAACCTGAATAAGGTGCAATGCAGTATTATTCAGGTTACTATGTAATTTAGCTTAGTACAGCTGGAATGTTGTATTGAACAATCAGCATCTAGTTATTAGTGATTATATAGTGGTGAAATTCAGTGTTGTAAAGTAGCTTCGATTAAGCTTATTTTAAGTCATTTTTTATTTTACTCCTAAAGAATGATTAGTACTTTTGACAAAATAGGCTTAAAATTATGTAAACTCACATGAAATGGGGAAAAAAATATTGTTTAACGTGTTTTCGGTAATTGAAATTGAATATTGAATTGAATATAAGTTGAAAAAGTAGTTGAAAAAACTTAAAACACACAAAAAAATTTGCCTTGGCAGCTAACTGAAAGAAGTTGAAGTACAAAACTTACTAATACTAAAGCTATATAAATATTTACTTAAATTAGGGATCCACCGATATGAACATTTTGGCCGATACCGATAATTCTTTATATTTGAAAGCCAATAACCGATATATTAACCGATAAATGTAATTCCAAGTTTTTATATAATTTTTTAAAAGCCTGATTACAAAAACAAAAGTCTCACAATTAAAAGCCATGTCCCAAATTTGCTCATTATAATTTATTGTAGCCTATATGACAGACTTGCGCTGCACATGTTCACAGGCAAAATGTTCATATTGGGCCGATAATGATAATATTAAAATTGAACATATATCGGCCGATACCGATATGGTGGCAGATATATCATGCATCTCTAACTTAAACTAAAACTAAAATGAAAACTTAAAATAAAAAATAAAAGCTAATTAAAAATATGAATTAATACTATAACAGTATTTAAATAATACTACAATAGCCATGGAATATTACTACAATAACCATGGAATATTACTACTATGATGATAATATGTAATTTGCATATCGCCTTTCTAGAGCACCAAAATGGCTGAAATGTCATTTGGACTAAATGTAAATTATGCATTTAAAAAAAAACCTTAAAAAATGCATAACATTAAAAACTGAACAACTATTGAATGTGAAGCAGCAGTGATATAAAAACAAAAAAAATAATTAATCTGGGCCAAAGTTTATGTTTAAAGGTCAAAACAACTGGGGCGACTAAGGCTACGCTTACACTGTCCTTCCAAATCGGATTATTTGTGTATCCGATTGGAATCTGATTTATAATAATTGACGTCCTCATTGTGTATCGCAGATCTGATTTGTGTGCCCATGCCGCTCTTTCGTTTTCCGAAATATCTGCATTGGTTTCAATGACAATGACGTTGCGTTGGTAGGTATACGCCAAAAACAACAACCGCAACATTGGAGGAGGTTTCAATACAGATGTTGTCTTATTTACAACATGACAATGTTGACGACTACTGCGTCTTCTGAATCATCAAGCCCTAAATGTCCCTGTTAATGCAATGATATAGTGCTGCAATGCTTGAATGTGTCAGTGGAAATCCCAGTGTAACAGTGTGGGATGTGATTCTACTTTAGAGTAGCTGGATGGTAATATAGTGATATAGTGCTGTAATGCCATGCTCATACTCTCATTGCACACACAGCGTTGGTGCGTTTGTCCCCTCTCAATGCCGTAGGGGTGCTGGAGTGGCCGTTCTGGACTAAGCTCATCGTGGTGGCGGTTGGCTTTTTTGGAGGACTCCTCTTCATGTACATTCAGTGCAAAGTCTATCTGCAGCTCTGGAGGAAGCTAAAGGCTTTCAACAGGATCATCTTTGTACAGAACTGCCCTGAAACCGTCCGCAACGGAGAGAACAGGCCGCCCCCGGTCACCCAGAGCAACGGCACGCACGGGGCAGTGGAGGTTCCCGTACCTCAGACACAAACAAACACAGGAGATGCGGAGGTGGCTCCTGTTTGATCATGGATGCTTGGTGCCCTGAAACCTCAGAAAAGTCTAGTAAAGGGCTCCTCTAGGTGTTTGTATTTGACCAAAGTGATGTGATTTACATCAAATAACAAAAGCACTTTTTATTTTCCCTGTAGGTGGATGACCTTATATAAGATTTCATAGATGTATATGAAATTAAAACATTAATTGTGTGTGCAATGATGTCATTTGTTATGACAAGGTGTAAAAACATTAGCGCAAATAATCATACCCCCAATCCATAATTAAATAGTATAATAAGGGATTCCCCTACCATCTGAGCCATTCAAGCTTGAACAACCCTCATGTTTTTTGCGAGTCCGCAGTCATATGTCATTACAGTTTTTTTTTTGTTTTTTTTACAATTGCCCCAATTGCTAGGACACATTTCTCAATACTTTGGTCTCTTTTTCAAAACTCTTCGCAGTTCTAACCAACTTTTAGCTCAGCGCAGCAGGCGCAGGTAGCTTTGGTTAAACTACCAAAGCACTTCATACACGTCTCAATCAAGGCACTCTTCAAACACACTTTGTCACTCATAAAACAACAAACTAATATGTTTTCTTTTGTAAAATACAAGAATAACCGGTATCTACTGTTTAACATTCTACTGTTTAAAAGGCTTTCTGCAAGCAATGATAAACGATCAAACGTTTAGCCCACATAGATATTATCCAACGTTTAGCCCACATATTATTGAGAAATGTGTGAGAACTCTGTGACCTCTAAATGTGACAGAGAACCAGAGGTGAACGTGCCAGTTACAGCAGTGATTATTCAAGTCAAGGAACAATCAAGTCTTAAACCAATCCTCTTTAACTTTAGCTCTCACCTCAGTTGTCTTTCCTCCAGCTGTTGAATTCTTGGATCAGGGAGTCACCTTACAGAGGAATAGAGTTGAATTCAAGAACCTAAATGAACCAAAGATATGTTACAAACTAGGGAACAGAGATGCACTGATAAATATTTATGTATTCTTTTATCATGTTATCACATTTACTTCGTTTTCAGTGATCCGTGTAAAGACCGGTAATTGTTGACCGATTCTGTGACATAAATGTGTATTATTTTTTCTAGATATATTTATTTTGTTTATAGTTTGTTTACAGTTGGGCAAGGGAGGGACCGTCCATTAATTTACCCAACAGTTTCCTTTCAATTCGATGGGTGAAATTAAGATACATTTTTGATTATAGAAAGCAAATTGTACTTTTTTTAATCTTCTAAAAAAGTAGAAAATTAAATGTATTTTACTGCAGTCAATTGAATAAAATAAGCTATCATAAGAATGCAGTGGATACAAGCAATTCAGGGACAAGATGATATGAGACACATTCTTAGGTTACACATTAGTTCAAGGTTTATAGTCTCATTTAATACATCCAAGTAAGATTAAATAAACTATAGGGTTAGGCTTAAGAGTATGATTAGGTTTAGTTGCATGTAATTATTAATAAATTGACTATTTATTACTATAGTATTAAGTACGTGTAACAAAGACACCGAAAATGAAGTGTTACTCATTCATGCTTAATCTGACTTGCCAAAAAAAGTCATTTTCTAAAAATAACTCAATCTATGAGAAATGAATGGTTACTTATGGAAACTAGGTCATATGTTTTGAAGCGTATGGAGAAGAATAGCGGTAATTTGTTAATATGCAGGTTTGGAGGTGATCATGTTTTGCTTAGAAAGAATTCAACAAATTTTACATTTTTGTATTTTGTTATTTTCTGCAGTGATGATCTTGATATATTAAAATAAAAAAATATATATAATCAAACACCCCCCAGGGGTCATGTCAGGATCAAGTGAGATTTAGTGATCAACATCAGTGTTCACAACTCAAATGCACATTATAAAAGAAACATGCAAAAATCAGTCAGTGCAATAAACCAGTGAATGTATCAAACTGTTTCAAAGTCTGTTTATTTATGTATTAATAGTATTGTGTTACTTGAGTAACTCCCTTCCTCACAACAAGACATTTTTGCCAGAGACCCAAAACACTATGGCTACAAGTAAAAAGCACTAGCAGCACAAAACGCACAGTCTTGCCCTTTCTGTCCTTGCACACAGCAAGTTGTCCATTACTCTACAGTAATCTGTACTGTAGTAGAGCTGCAGGATTTCACAGTACTATGGAATTCAGAGATGCATCTTCCTCATTATCTTCCTCCATGTGTTTATCTTGTGAAACTGCAGACGATGTACTGTCAGAGCGTTTGGCTGAAACCTTTCTCATCTTAATGTTGGGAAGTTTCTTGAGGTCACCGCTCCACTCTCTGTTAAACAAATGCGGCTTAAAGTTAGACGAATTTGACACGGTTACAGTGTGGATGGGACTTTACATAGATAGCTTTGTGCCAGAAATTCTTTAAATCTGATGACTTGCTATAAAAGTGTTTAATAAAAAGTATGTTTTAAGTAATAATTACCTGAATATTTTCAGATGCTTAGAATTGATAATGTCAGGGATTTCTGTAAAGGGAAAAAAGACAGACAATTTTTAAACCACTAGACTAGAACATGATGTTGCCAAAGGTTAATAAAGATTTTTTTTTTTACGTTGCAAGCACAAGATGCATACAGGATGGCAATAAAAGTTAGTCACCATGAAATCAACATTCACAATTCTTACTTTTCTATGGAATATAGCAGCATTTATTATAATAGATCAATGCAGATCTTTTTTTTCTCTCCATGTTCCCTTTTAATCTTTAATCAAAATAACAGTCTCACTCTTGCAGTACATTTCTTCTCATCTCTTCTATGATGATGTGTTTACTGGCTTGAGTTAACAGCCAACGATCCTACATTTTTTCTTGTTTGAAAAGTCGTTTCACTCGGATATTCCGACTTTAAAAACGAAGGGTTGACTTTGAATCAACAAATAAAAGTATTTTTTATGCATGGCTTGAGAATGCACATTTTTGCTCTGAAGTACTGACCTTAGACAAGCATTATTAGCATGATTTGTCAATTTTATAATAAATATTTTACAAATAGGAACTCCCGCACACTATCAGTACTTGCAAATAAAACTTATTTTAGCGGCAACACGTCATCAAACAGTTACAACACGTAATTGTACACAGTTACAACCATACTAACTTACATAACTGCGTACAATTATGTGTTGTAACTGTTTGATGACGTGTTGCCGCTAAAATAAAAGTTTTATTTGCAAGTACTGATAGTGTGCGGGAGTTCCTATTTGTAGATTGTCGACCAATCTTGGTCTTCCTTTCCTACGCACCTATCACCTACAGGTGTGCGATGGCGTTTGTTTAATAATAAATATTTTAAACTTGTTTTTGAGAAATAGCGTCCAACTAATGCAAGAAACCATTTTATTCAAGCTGTTTTAACATTGCTCTCATAAAAGTCTTGTAAGGCAAGAAACAAAGATAAAAGAGACCTTCACAAAAGTTCAGGAGAATGTAGAAAACTCACCAAAGCCACTGCCTTCATACTGAGCTCTCTCTCGCTCTACTGTTTGATTGATGATAGCCTCTCTAGATCCATGCTGACGACCCTGTCGTCCTTTAATACTGTTCGCTAACTCAATCTGCTCCAACTCTCCATCAAACCGGTGAAGGTACCTGAGGAGGAGGATATCTTATATAAACCAAGATTATTCTCACTGTACAGCTAACATTTCGAAACCAAAGACAGTGCTGTTTATGAACGTTACAAGTTATAACAGCATGTTTACTTGGGAGTAGTTGTACCTCTCAATTACTTCACAAGCATCACGTTTGGTGTATTCTAACTTGTCAGGGTCCAGTTGGCTTTGGAACCACAAAAGTTTTTCACCTGTAGAAAATGAGTGAAGACATGAAAGCTTGGAAGCTGAAGCTTTCATTTGTTCCTGCTGAAAACTGCTGAGTTTGACCAAGAACAACGCACCTATAGCACTTTACTGTATTAAGTACTTTACATAACTTGTATTTTATGTTTATACACTGTTGTGTTTTAACTGTGTTGTTGTTTGCTTAGTTGTTGTTGTATGGTCAGAGTAATACTGTAGCACTTTGCCCAAGATAAATTTCCCTTCGGGGACAAATAAAGTTTATCCTTATGTGAGCATCTAACGGTACGTTCACGGAACTTTGGCTAACGTTCTGACAAGGTTCTCTCAAAGTTATGAACAAACGTTCTTCCAGTAACGTTAATACAACGTCCGTTCAAAGTTATCTGGTCTTTAATTATGTTCTCTGGTCTTTAATTATGTTCTCTGAACGTTAGCACAAAACAAATACAGAATTCATGGAACATTTAAAAGTAACGGTTATACAATGTTTGCAAAGTTACGTTTTCTCTGACGTTCACATGACCAAGAAAAAAAAACCTGGACGTTTTGAAAGTCCCTACACCTAGAACGTATCAGAAATAATGTTATCAAAGAGAACGGGGTAAAATTGCGGCATACTGACACTTTTTCATTGTCCGCAAAACAAGCTTTTAAATCCCTTGCTTACACGAAGGCAGAACAAAAAAAAGCCTAACGTTACTTACCAATCAAATTTAGACGCTGTGCCTTTTCACCCTTTGACCTAGAAATGGTTAAACAAATATTACATTTACAGGTGTAACAGCATAAAAAATGTACCGTGGCAATACAACATAAATTTGTATTTCCCTTTAAATGAAATACACGTACTTTTCTTTCCTATCTTGTTTGATGGCAGCTCTTGCCAGATATGCAGCTTTCCTGCTGTATGGGTGAATAGCCTTCTTCTCCACCTGTCCCTTACCTTTCGCTGCCTTCGGCTGAAATGAGAATACTAATTGTTAAACATACAATTCTAAAAAGTAGTTCTTATTTAAACAAAGGGTTTAACTAAAACCATACCATATTAACTGATGAATGTTTATCACACGTGTGACGTGTGGGGGGAGATTTAAGGGACGGACCACTGAAACGGTTCGACAGTATTTTTTGTTCCGTGTATAACATAGATTTGCCACGAGTTCCGTTGTTGTTGTTTTTTTTTTTTTTTTGCAATTTATTTCTTACACACTTGGGAAATGAATTTATGATGGTGGAACTCTGTTAAAATTTTTTATCAAAATGTTGTTAGTATAATTTTCCAACTGTATGGCCGTCTTTGCTTTGGATTCATGATTCAACAGCTTTATAATCTGCTCATTTCTTTCTATTTCACCTTTATCTTTTTTATTTCGTAATTTTTCTTTATTATTTTCATTTCATTTCATTAGTTTTTTTATCGTTAAAGAGGTTAATTCCATACATTTTCAGAGAGAGATAACTTGTATTGAATGTTGTCTATTTATTCCATATTCTCTATTGATATCATCCATTTAATTTAAACTGAATGCTATATTTTAATGGAAATAACAAATGTATGTGCAAATGACCAAAAAGAAAGTAAGAAAGAGAGGAAAACACTTTAGGCACGTTAAGCACGTTCTGCACGTGCCGCCTGTGAATCCATGTCCACTCAGCAGAGAGCGCGCGCATGGGTTTTTATCAGTCTTCTGTTCTTGGTGTCTCAGCTGAGCTGCAGCATTTGTCACATGACTCCAGCATGGTGGGGAAACGGGAATCCCAGAGTGTGCTGCGTTGTGTTTGTAAAAAATAGAGCGCGAGCATGCCGACGCTGCTGCAGAAGCTCTTCAGCAAGAGAGCCGTCGGTAACGGCAGCGCCCGGGACTGCTCGAGGGGAGCGGAGCAATGGTAAGACCATTAGCACGCAAATACACAGTGACAGCTATATCAATGGATATACAGTACGAGCCCTCGCACCTGCACGCTCACTGTCAGCTGACCTCTCTGCGGCAGACAGCTGTTTCTTCTGCAATAAAGAGTAGAGGTTTGTGCAAATATGTACAAGTTGGGTCACCATAATTGTGCCATCCTTTCCAGGCCGTAGTGTTCCAGTCTATGTGTTAACGGTGTTGTGGACGGAGTCACACACGAGTTCTGCGTAGCGCGCGTCCATGTCAGCTGATCCCGAGTCCACGCGTTATGTAACTTACCAATTTATGCTTGACCAATTCTTGCTAGTTTTGACACGTACATTTATGGCTTCTGCTGTGTTGGTTCCTTTATTCTAGTCAGAGTGGGTGGACAGGGGTTTTATGGGGTGATGTTGAAATGTATATTTGTTTAATTTTACAAATGGTCGTCTTTTGCTTTTGATTCGAATGACTATTTTATATTCCTTTTGCACTTTTAATTATATATTACATAATTCAGTATACCTTGTAGGAGCATGTAATGGGAAAGTCATGTGACCAAATGATAATGAGAGTGTTATTAAAACACCTGTTGTGTGTGTGTTCATATGGAAGAATGGGGGTGAGTGCTGGAGCACATATTTTGTTTATCGTGCAAACCTGTACAAAATAAAAGAACATGCAAGCTTCAAGGATAAACTTGTCACAGAAGTTATTCCTCCACTCAGCTCCTTAGCGGTTTTTGGATTGTTTTTATGTGCCGCTACAAGTTAGTCAACAAAATGGTTTGTTCGAGAACGTGAACGCGTCGACTTTGGATGTTGTCAATAAAAGAGGTTTTATTGGGTAGAAATAAAAAAAAGCATGCAGGTAAATCTGTCACATTTCTGGGTGTCTGCTATAAACTGAGGAAAAAGATCATCAAAGGGCTATAAAATATAAGTTCTAAGAAAAATAAGTAGTCCAGTGACACCTGGGGATGATGAAAAATCTTAAAAATGTTAAATTTACTCATTTTAGAAAAAGGTTAAAATCACCATGAAATCTAAAGTTTTTTATGGAATATTGCAGTTTTTATTATAAACGACTTAACATCATTATTTTATAAAAATGCGTGTGCCCTTGTAATCTTTAATCAAATTAACTTATTAAAGGGATAGTCACCCAAAAATGACAATTAGCCAATGATTTACTCGCACTCAAGTCATCCTAGGTGTATGACATTCTTCTTTCAGACGAATACAATCGGAGTTATATTAAAGAATGTCCTGGCTCTTCCAAGCTTTATAATGGCAAAGCTTTATAATTGTTGTTTCTCTTTTGAAGTCCAAAAAAGTGCATCTATCCATCATAAAAGTGCATCTATGATCTATCCATCATAAAAGTTCTCCACACGGTGCCGGGGGATTAGTAAAGGCCTTCTTAAGCAAAGCGATGTGATTTGTGTAAGAAAAAATTCATATTTAATATGTTACAAAGTAAAATTCTAGCTTCCAGCCAAACAGCCATACGCAGTCTATAATATATATAAATTATACGGTGCTATATGCGCCTAATGTGCCCTTAAGCAGCTTGTGATGTCAGAAGTAGCATAGTGTGTCATGGCGTAGCGTAAATATCAGCAGTACGTTGCATTACTCGCATAAGTTGCGCTTTACACTTATGTGGAATCCGTATGTTCATTTGGCCGGAAGCTAGTTATTTTAGAACTAGCTATTTTACTTTATAAAGTTTTGAATAATGGATATTTTTCTTACACAAACGCATCCAGAAGCCGTTTCAATCAGATAGACATCACAATATGAAAGAAAAGACTATTGCAATTTCCATTTCACGGCGACTTTAAGTTCTTCATCACAAACCCTTGGATCTAATAAGAAATGAGGTCCACTGGGTCAGTGAGATCAAAATATAGTAGTACTTCCGTGTGAATGAAAAGCTGTCATGCTTTAAGTAGAGCTAATTCCTCACTTTAAACTACAATTATAATTCTTTAATAATGTTAAGCTTTAGCCAAAAAAAGGCATTATTTTATATACTGTCAATTGTCTAACATAATTTTTTTAGCGGTAATACAATATTATGGACTCTTTCTAAATGCATTATCGCATGACAATTCTGCAGTTTCTTAGCAGAAAGTGACCCTGTGTACTATGGAATGCCAAAGCTGCCGAAATAAGAAATAAATAAATATACAAAGAAATGTAAAAACATGTATTTATAATTTGTATTTATAATTTTATTTCCTTATGTATAATTGTATTTATACATTTATTTATTTACACTTATTTTATTTCCACATTTATTTATTTATTCATATATGTATTTATGTTTATATTTATTTATTTATTTACACATTTATTTATATATTTCTTTGTCCATACAGTAATGAGGAATTTAATTTTTATAAAGAAATAGTGTTATTACAATAGTAGCTAATAATTCTCATTTTGTTTAATATTTTTAGTAGGAGTAATTATAATCATAAGTAGTCATTTGATAACTTAAGCACAAAAATTTGGGCCAAATTGTGCAGCCCTAGAAGCAGGCACAACAAACCTGGTGTTCTTTATAATGTTTGTTTAAATTTATTTTAAAAATCGCATTTAAATTGCAATTTTAACCAGAAAAAGCGCAATTAGATTTTTTCCCCAAATCGCTTAACGTGAAACTTTGTGCATTGCGTTCATATTCTGGACTCATCTGCTTGTCTGTACATTCTTTATTAGTAAGGTGTACTGAATTTTATGTTTTAATATCACTGTCTAATGCATTAAGCCAAGTTAAGTGTTTTCTTCTTAACGGTTTTCTATAAGGGGAAAATGCTTAACGTGCATTGCTTTCATATGCGAGGTTCTTCTGCTTGTCTGTATGCTTTATTAATAATGCGTATACTGAATTTGGTCCTCCAATATCACTGTCTTAGTACATTAAGCCACATGAGGATGAAATGAATAACCTACAAAATACTTTTTAGATCACATGCCAACTGCAGTTTTATTGGCTATGAATAAAGCAATCACTAATTTGTTATTGACAAGCAAAAAGATAGATTTTTTTAAATCTTGGGCTGTAAGCGAATTCTTGAAAATGAATTGTAAATATGCGGTTGCCGCGTGCCATGTTGCAGTACAGAGGACAGGAGAAAGGGTTGACAAATCAGATGGAAGGGGTGTGCAAAAAGGTGTCCAACCACTCCACACACCTCTTGCATTTAATTTGGTCACACCACAAGGTGTCACTGTGGCCTCAAAGCTGTGCTCTTGCCACTCTGAGCTCGATTGCGCAATATAAATAAATATATATATATATATAAATAAATGAAAAAAGTATAAATACACATTTATTAATTTATTTTTACATTTCTTTGTATATTTATGTATCTATTTATTTATTTTTGTTGTATTTATTAATTCAGCAGCATTCCATAGGTACCCACTGATAATATATAAAACATTGATCCCAGTGTTAATTTGAAGGTCTAAAACAACAGAAAAGAACTGTGAAGGGATCTCCCACTAATGTAATCACCTTCCATTCACTTCCACAGCCACTGCTCAAGATTTGCCTATTTACAGAATTGATTTAGGTAAGAATCACTGGATTAACCAAAATTCGGATATATATCATTTGACAGGGAAATAAATAGTTTTCGCAGAGCAACATTTTGTGTACATAAAGCAGTGAGCTGAGAAATGTGTTCTTAAATTAGATTTTTCTTTAAAAGTTTTTTCATTAGAAATATAAATATAATTCCATCCCGACAGGTCTAAAATATAATAGGCTTACCATAGTGAATCAGGGTAAGAAAAAAAAAAAAGACATGATGAAGGAATGATGATGTATTTACTCATTATTTAAATTTTGTTTATTTTGAACATGACAAATACAGTGTACAAATACAATACTACCTTTAGTTTTTTTTACTTTAATGTTTTTGTTCATATTGTCTTTTGACATTCTTATAAGTTAGTTTTTATATATATTTAAATTTAGCTTTAAATTATTTAAATTTTTTAATTTTAGTACTTCAGCTTATTTCAGTTAGTTGCTATATGTTTTTCATCTAAGATTTATACTTTTTTATTTTAGCTTCATTTCAATAATTTTGTTTTTAATGGTTAATAAATACAACAGTTCACCTAGTGGCGTTGATGCAGCATAGTGCAAAAGTTTTTAATAACTGATGCCATTGTAGAAATGCACTGTTTGCAGTCAGTCAGTTTATTCTGCGAGTGAAAGTATCTCCATAATGCTCTAGTATTGGATAAAGTATTATTCTGCTGGTCATGTGATTTCAAAATGTCTGCCCCCATAAGGAGACCCACTCCATGTAAAAAGAAAAAAAAACGGCGTTTAATAGGCTACGTATGATCTTCTTTTTTGTGTGTGGAAAAATTCCATTGTGAACCCTTACTTTTTAAAAATGTTCACTCTTTGTGTGGGGGTAAAGCATATGACTGACCGAATATGTGTTGCAACATGCATTCTTAGTGTAAGAAAAGGGTACATGTTAGTTTGTTTGCTGAGGTTTGCAACTTTAGCCAGTGAGAGTGTCCTATGACTGTGTTTGGATCACATGCGTTGTGAGTGTGTGACAGTCATGTGACGTTAGAGCTGTATTCAGTTTGTCATCAGATAGATAAGGGTAGAAACCTCTCAGTCTCTGAACACATGCCACCCAAAAACGTCTTTCTCTCTTTTCTTTGTCTCTCCATCTGAATCTTCCCATTTTTCAAAGTCATCTTCTTTTAATTTCATAAATGCTGTTTGATTTGGAGAACTTGCTTCTAGACAAAGTAAGAACAGATTTTTTTAGGAGAATCGGATGAGTGTACGCATGCCTGTATGCACACACACACACTCGAGTAGTGAATCGAGTGGAATACCTTTGAAGATGAAGATTAAGAGTCTCAAGAAAAGAAAAGAGTTCATTCCAGAGGATGCTTCACAGAACAGGTACACCAAGTGTGTGTGTGTGTGTGTGTGCTTTTTCGGCCACTATACAAATATTGTAACATCTTTGTTTGCGAATGAGAGGAATCTGATCCAAATCTTTTTGTTTTTACCTCCGGTCGACACCTGGCCAGTATGTGCATGCATCTGCATGTGTGAAACATGTATTCTTAAGGCATTGTTACACAGCCGAGTTAAGGTTGTTTTAAGCAGACTCTGTGGGTTCTCAACTTCTACGATAAAAATGACCCAACACACAACATGTAAAATATGCATCTTTGACCCACCTCAGCCCCTAATATCAAAGTCTGTTTGATGCTGCTTTGCTTCTGTCTAAATGAAATGCAGCATCAAAGCAGCCTTAAACTGAGTACATATTAGCATATATTTAAATTATTTGCAATCTAATGTATACATATTTTTTATTTAAACATGTATGAATAATATAGATTAAATATTTATTAGATTTTCCTCATGCTTATTTTATTTTCATATCCATTTTCATGTTTATATATTGTAATTTGTAGTTAAATCTAAATTCATATTTCACATAAAACATTAATTTGATGAACATCTTTTTGAACTGTAATATCTTGCTGCTATTCTCTTACTGCTTTCTTCACTGCTGCTGAAGCTGCTTGATGTGTGACCTTTGCTTTGAGTGCATGAGGCTTGTTGGACTTTTTTTGGGTAGCAATATAAAAATGGTAAATATATAATGTGAATACTAGACTGTTAGTGCTAGGTGAAAGCATGATCAAATTTGTCAAAATATTGAATCAACAAACACGCAAGGGATCGCGGATTTATAGAATTTGTGAATGAATGTTCCAGTTCAGCTTTCTACACGCAGCAGATTTCAGTCAGCCAATCTGAAATGGTTCTAGTTGTCAATCAGTGAGATCTCAGTGTGTGTTTGTGTGTACTTGCAGCGATCATGTGGCACAGCTAGCGGTTGCTTATCATGTGATCTGAAGTATCAGGAAAATCCCACAAAGGATGTGTCAAGGCTAATTTATTATTCTTTTTTGCTTCTTAAAAGTGAATCACTGTCAGTAGAGTTAGATGTGTGTGTGTGTGTGTGTGTGTGTGTGTGTGTGTGTGTGTGTATGGGTTTAGCTACACTTGTGAAGGCCAAATGGTTGAAATTGTCCTCACAAGCAAAGTGAAACTTGTCGAAACAGACTTGTTACGACATTTGAATATATCCTAAATAATTTTTGCTTTAAATCTAATAATGTAAACAGGTTTCTGTGAGAGTTAGGTTTAGTATATGGTATTATCTTAGTATGAAAACCATTGTATCTATGAGGAGTGTTACTAATATAACTTCTAGGGTCTGTGTGTGTGTTTGTGTGAATGTGTAGTGGCAGTACCACCCCAAGCAAGTGTTTTTCTCTCCCTCCTTCCTTCTGTCTCTCTTATATACTGGCACACACACTCAGGCAAAGTCTTAGTAGGAGAGGATAAAGAGAGCCTGTGCCCTCCGTGTGTGTGAGTGTGTGTGAGGGATAAAGGGGGCCTGTGCATAGCAGTGTATTGTTCAGCAGCTGGGTTAGAAAGGACGGAGCAACGTATCTTCTAACACACACATACACACACACATTAACACTAAGCAGTCCATATACAAAGTCCGTAAGCTCAACGCAAACAGACACAGAGTGATTGCCAACTCACACATGGACACTGATATAACAATCATCATCACTGCATCATCTACACAACCAGAGAGAAGGGGGGCTGCCGACACCATGCGTGTGTGTGTGTGTGTGTGTGTGGTTTCGTGTGACTTGTGCACTCAGAGCCCGGACAAGCGGAGATGGAGACGGTGTGCCTGTGTTTTCCGTTGTTAGACTGTGGTGATCTTTTGATGTTTAATAGAAGAAACATGCAACTGTGTGAATGGTCCACTTTCCGTGCCTTCAGCTGCTCTCTTGGCCAGTTTCGGGCTTATTGTGGTTGTTATTCATATCTATTTTGGATGTATATGTAGTGCTTCGAGGCTGGAAATGAGTGTTTGATCACTTATCATACACCAGGATGGAAAGCAGGTAGGATGTTTGTATTCGTGCAAAGAAAATGTATTTTTGCTCGTTTAGGGATGGTCCAATTAAATGCTTTATTGAAAGTTCTTGCAGTTTTATGGTTTAAATGAAAGGAATAGTTCACCCAAAAATGAAAGTTGTAATATTTACTTCCAAAACAACACAAAAGGAGAGATTTTGAAGAATGTTCACGCTTCTCTTTTCCCATGTGAATTCAGGGAATGATTCAGTGAACAGGGATCTATATAGCACTATACAAGTAGACCGACTGACTGATTTGGTATATTCCAAGTGTTGGGAATCCATATAGCTTTGTGTGAGGAAAAAAAGTAAATGTACACTACCATTCAAAAGTTTGGGGTCAGTGCAATGTTTTTAAAAATAAATGAATACTTTGCTTTATCAAGGATGCATTAAATTGATTAAAAGTGACGGTAAAAAAACTTTAATATTGTTACAAAAAACAATTTCAAATAAATGCTGTTGAACTTTCTATTAATCAAAGAATCCCAAAAAAATTATCACTGTTTCCACAAACATATCAGGCAGTAAAAACTGTTTTCAACATTGATAATAAGAAGAAATGTTTCATGAGCGCCAAATCAGAATTAGGATGATTTCTGAAGGGTCATGTGACACTGAAGACTAGAGTAATGATGCTGAAAATTCAGTATTGCATCACAGCAATAAATAAAAATTTTAATATATATATATATATATTACAATAAGAATATAATATAATTTTGCATAATTTTACTGTTTTTACTGTATTTTTTAATCAAATAAATTCAGCCTTGTGAGCATTTCGAGACTTATTATAAAAACAATACATCATAACAACCCCAAGCTTTTAAACATTATTGTAAGTTGTTATTCGCTTAAAATTCACTGGAACTGTTTGAATAACTATTTTCAGTTTAATATTTCCAGTTATTCGTTAAAGAATTGACATTGATGTCGTTGTCAATATATATATATATGTAACTTCAGTAAGTATTTTTTTTTCTTCTGTTTTTGAATGTTTTGACCACACTTACTTCTGTTTCTCTCTTTTTTTTAGTTGGGCATCTGCAGAGTTTGATCTAGCTCAGATCAGGTTAATAGTGTATCAAGACTGTGAGAGAAGAGGACGGCAGGTTCTCTTTGACTCCAAAGCAATACATAAACTGGACGCATCCGAGCCGGTAAGTTGCTAATGTGGTGTGTGTATGTGTGGGGGTGTCTATGAGCACTGTTTTGGGAGGAGTCACATGCTCTGTAATCCAGCTTGCTTGGATCTCATGACAGGTGTGACTGCTTGGCTAACTGGGTCAAAGTGTTGCTTATGAGAGTGAGTGTATGGGTTGGATCTTGGATTAGTATGGCTGTTTATGACTTTTGATGTTAAGTTTTGGTATAATTTTTGGGGGGTGTAAATTATACACTTTTCACATGAAGGATGTTTTAAGGGTGTCATGTCATGATAATTCAGACTTTTCATTATCTAAAAAAAAAAAAAAAAAAAAAAAAAAAAAAAGTACTATGCAACCACACTGTAACTGTTATTGTTACTCTTCAGTAAATAAAAATGTCAGTGTCTATTCAGTGTTCGTAAACTTGGCCATCTAGTCATGATGAGATAAAAGAAGGACATAGAATAGGTGCTCTTCGTAAAAAGAAAAGAAAAAAAAAAACCATACCATAAGAATAAAATGTGGGAAACTTGGGATTATTCTTGACTGTGTGCATGTCCTTCTGAAGGATCCCATCTTTAGGAAAGTACGGCTAAACTTTTTCTTAATGCTTTATTTTATTTTTATGATACACTCAGGGTAAGAGGGAAAGAAACAAAAATTTTAAAAAGCAACCAAAATTAATAAAAAAAGGAAAATAATACTAAAAAAAAAAGTATTATACTCAATACATGAAAGTAAAACACTGTCCCTAAACACATCGGTCTTACTCTGACCTTAACAGTTTGTGCAGCACTTTTCTGAACAGATTGATTTAGAATAGTGTTACAATGTAATTTGCAAAGAGGCTATTAAGGAAGGAAATTATGTTTTAATTCACATGCAAAGAAAATTTGTCAGAAAAAATAAAAGTTATGACTTTTTAGAAAAAAGGAAAAACCCTTAAGTAGACCTTAATTATTTACTGCAAAAGTTTAAACTGATGTGTCAACTGATTTTTCATCACAATATGCATACCGGTACTTTATTTTCACTGTTGTAATATTGAGTTGAATTTTCCTATTGCTTATGCATAGTCTTAAATCAAAGCTGTATTTTTCATGTCAACCCATCTATACTCATGCATCTAGACAGTTGTTATTGAATGTCTCTGACTCTCTCTGAACAGAGTGTGATTTATTGTCAGTAAGTTGTCACATGATTGGTCTGTTTATTCAGCTCCTCAGCTTTTGTCACAAGGAGAGAGAGACAGAATAACAGTGTGTGCGCGAGTGTATTGCTATAGAATTGTCTCATGGTGGAATATTGCGCTGGCAGATTTCCATATCTTTGATTTCCTTGTTTTTTTATTATTATTTATCTCCACGTTATTGCACAACATAATTTCTGTGAAAAATATATTTTCTAGTAGAGCTGCACAATTCTAGATAAATGGAGAATCACGATTTTTTTTATATATAGAGATCACGTTTCTCCCAAGATTTTGAATAGACAACTAAACAATATAACATGTAATTTACAAGAGGTTCTGACTAAATGTTAATTGCTGCAGTCTATTCCAAAAATATATCATTAATTTGAATAAAAATGTTTAATCGGTTTAAATGAATGATTCAATGACTCACTCATAAAAGACTTCACTTGTTTCATTACTGGTGAATAGGGCTGCATAGCGAAATTATTGAAATATCGCAAATGTACATATCGCAATGGCTTGCGATTTCTGAATGACTTTAATAGGTTACTTCAAAAAGTTGCGAAAAGTCAAACTGTTTTGTCGACGCATATAGCAAAGAATAGATTGGGCATATGACTCTTACTAAAGTGTGACTTGCTTGAAGTTAAGGAGCCCCTATTGTGCTTTTTCGAAATATTACCTTTCATGCAATGTGTAGTGTAGTGTGTCTGTGTCTGTGTAATGTAATGTAAACAAGCTGCAAAGTTGTGAAGCCAAAAGTGCATAATAAATTAAGTTATCGTCTCTCATAAGAAACAATCGACTCTGAACAACCACGAACAACGTCTACAATGTGCAATGTATATTATGAGAAAATGAAAGCGTTTTTTTTACCTTTGATGCATGTAAACCTGTTGTAGGAGGCCTCCAAAACAAAATTAGGTAGTGGAAAAAATTTCATTTTTTACACATGATTTGACAGTTTATTTTATTACATTTTAAAAAATCTACAAGGTGCGCATCATACCTGACACCAACATGAATACTTGTACAGTTGGTTTTATGACTGTAAGTCATTCTCTTCAAAATGCTATTGAAGTTAGAAACGTGTATACCAATGTCATATGCAACTTTAGAGATGGTCCCTAAATTTGCGAATCTCGCGAATCAACGTCCATGTCAAGCCAACTTTTATGCCAGTATTTCACTGGGAAACGCTTAGCGTGAAACTTTGCGCGTTACATTCATATTCTGAGTCTTTCTGCTTGCCTGTGTAGCCTATATAGTATAGCCTACTACATCCCCAATAAGGTGCGAGATTCTGTGAGTTTTACTGTTTACTTTTACTGTCACTTTTAATCAATTTAATGCATCCTTGCTGAACAAAAGTATTAATCTCTAAAAAGAAAAAAAACCGTAGTGACCCTAAACTTTTGAACGGTAGTGCTCATTAGTCCTTAATATGGATACCCATATTTTGTAGCAAATATCCCCTTGATTCTGTGATGACCTTAAAGACTGAGAGGCTCAGTGTGATGTGGCCGATTGTTTCGTACATCTTACAGACTGCTGATGAAAACAAAACTCCCCCCAATCGGAGTGATGCTTGCCATATCGGAGGCCAAGCAAATGAGAAAGACAAGCCTCCTACATATCAGGTTTGTGCAGAAAAATATTTATGCTCAGGCATTAAGTCAGTATCATGGGAATCCATTAGTCAAAATTCTTTTATAAATTCTAATCATAAAATTCCAACATAAACTGTGTGTTTATGGCTACATAGAATACTTTGTCACTTTTGACTTATGTATGTATGTTCAGTATACCAGACCAGCTTCAGACGTGAATATGCTTGGAGAGATGATGTTTGGCTCAGTTTCCATGAGCTATAAGGGTTCAACTCTTAAAATTCACCACATTCGGTGAGTATTTTATGTAAATGTGATATATTTCACAGGAATCAGGGTCTTAGCGGTGTGTATGCGATAACACTGTAATATTGTGTATGTGACAGGTCTCCACCACAGCTGATGGTCAGTAAGGTTTTTTCGACCCGGTTTGGAAGCAGCACCTCTGGAAGTACAAATACGTACGTCTCTTTCCTCTCACCTGTAATCTGCTGCTACAAGACTCTGCTCTCGATCACTCATTGTCTCTATTTTTTAAAGGCTGCAAGACAGTTTTGAGTCAATGAGCCAAACTTTTCACACCAGCAGCATAGGTAAGATAAGTACAAACATTTCTTCTTTATTTGTTAATTTGTCACAATCTGTTCCAAAACCTAGTGAGCTACCGAGTGCCTACATAGGCAGCAATTTATAGGTTCACTCCTGTCACAAAGGCTGTTCCAAAAGGTAGGTATCTTATTTATGCTGTTTCCCGAGTTTTAAGGCAGCATTCCATGTACCTTTCACAGAGAACAGTCCCAGAATACATTGCAGCAAGATCAATGAAAAAACAACAACAACCAGGATGACAGATGAGAGAGAAATCTTGACATCAAATTTTATTTGATTCAATTCTGAAAACTAATTATTGAAAATAGCTAAATGTAGTTAAGAAGGATTATTTTTACCTAATATTTATCTGTGTTGTGTTTTTTAGAGTTTGGAGCAGTTGGATTTCTAATATATATACATACAGAATATATCTATATTTACAGCATCATGGGTAATCTCGTTTTTAACCATGAATTGAGCTCTTAATCATGATTATTGAAATAATGCGAACGAATGGCTTCAACAAAAGCATATATAAAGTTTTTACTTCCTGAACACTATTTCATATTTCTATTTCATTGGGGATGCTAAGATCAGCTGTATATGTAGGCAGCATGGCAGCTCATGGTTTCGGAACAGCACTTTCATCTGTTTATTTTCTTAATTCTTCCTCTGATTTTCACCCAAACATACCGTTGCTCAACATGGCCATATACCACTCTTTTTAGGAGTTTGCCGTGTACCTAGTGCTCCTCTGCTCCGCCTGGCTCGGAGCGCATCTTTCTTTGCAGGTTTGTGTGGAATGCTGAAGCAGCGTGAGCATGTGTTGATCTCACATGCACAAACACTTTAGCTATGTTTTAATTTTCTACTGTGTGTCCTCTCTGACTATTTAGCCTTTGATTGATTTTAGGCCCCTCACATAATGCACTTCCTCTGCCTTTGGCCCTGTGTTACACCTGGTATTAACATAGTTGGGTGATACAATCACAACAGCGGAGACAGAATGCTATTTACACCTGATGATGATAATAATATGCATCTCATATTACCACAATGTGGTTTGTGATCGGATCTCAAATATTTTTCACACTGTCTACATCTCTATACAGCTGTACACTTGTGATTGGATCACTGAAATGGATGTAAATACCAAGTGTGAACAGAGTTATTGTGGGTCAGCAGTATTGTTACAAATGAGACTGCAAGGTTTCTAGATTACGGGCTTTATCTTCACGCTTTCAGATGGGTCCACACTTTTGTAGGTGTTGTGTGAGTGAGTGTGTGTGTGTGTGCATGGGGGATACTAACCTGCATGCTCTTTTGAAAAGTGCTTGGGAACCCAAAACCTCCACCAAATCACCCACAATGTGAAGCAATGCGGACACACTTTACATTCTTCAGAATGCAGCTGAATGTGAGGGAATGTGTAATGACTCTTTTTCCAGCCCACAGTAATCCAGTGGACATGCCTAGCAGAGGACACAGTGAGGATGGAGACAGTGGCATTGCTCGATCAGGTATGCACACATTTATGAAGTCAGAACTTCATTAATGCATTCTTGAATTGACCAAAGCATTATCACTGTATCATACCAGTTATCGGCCGATGTTAGACATATATATATATATATATATATTTTTTGTCAGTTGATAGTGGATATTTAATGGTGCATGCTCATTTTCTCTACTTTTACATTGATTATATTTTAAGATTTTTTAAATAATATTAATATAATAAATGTTGTAAATTATGTAATAAACTAGGAATTAAAAATTCTAGTTAAATGTAATCCTTACCCAGTTTCAAAATGAATATACTTTACATTATAATGTTGTGCTGTCTACATTTGTGTGTAGCATTTAAAACGATTGATTTTAGTTTTTAGTGTTTTTTTAGACAAAAATAGCATAAAATGTTAATATTTGCCATTTATTTTATTTGCTATCAGTAAAGTCGACATGAAACGGAAGTTGTGACTGTCTTTTCTTTCCATCTTTTTTTTATTATGCATTTTCTTTCCATATTGTAACATATATATCCGAGTTTGAATTGTTTGACGAGTTTGACGGCTTCTTGAACAAGAAAAAATGTATGGACTTAATTTTGTCCATCGGGAATTTATTGGATAGCTGTGATCTCATGTGAGTGACAGGTCGTCCCGCATTCACGCCAGTAAACACGTCATCAGAGAAGAGAAGAGATGTCGCTGCTAAAGGGAGGGGAAGTTATTTTAATTATAAGTTATGAGGGAATTAAAAATAAATAATGATGTACACGGATGGTCCGTGTATCTTTTGGTCATTTGATTTCCTGTTTGGAATCGAATAACGAGAAATGAAAACCAGCTCGTTTTTTTGTTTCGTTTAAGAAACGAAAAATTGGATTTTGGCTCTATTTTTCATTTCTGGTTTACAAATATTTAATTTGCACACGTGGGCGGCACCGAAACGCCCCTTTCATCCGATTGGTCAAACCGCTCCGCCTTCAGTACGAGCTTTTCTTTCTGTCAGGAGTGCGGTACTGACAAATGCACTTTAATAAAATAATGTCTGAAACCACCACTCACTGTTAACTGCGCACAATATTTGAAGCAGAAATATGTTGCTGGTCACGTAACTCGTGCTGCTGCGACCCCATTAATGTGAGCCACAGTAGGCCTACATATGACAGATTATTTTACCATGATGTATCTCCCATTGATAAATACAGTGCAAATAGTTCAGTCTCTTTGGATAAAAGTGAAGTGGAAAAAAAAATCAATAAGAGACTGAACAGTACCATGATAAAATATATCCGTAACATTAGATGTCCGTAGATGACCTACCCATAACAGTTACATTAGAGTTAGACCGATCAAAACTTGACCGATATTTGTCTTACTTGCTGATTTACAGACAAACTTTATAACGTAAATGTGCCTGTGAACTCCACTTTCCCATTCTGCAGCATCTCTGAGCAGTTTATTGGCCACTCCCCTCCCCTCACCTGGCTCCTCCTTCAGCAGTGGCTGTGCCAGCAGTTACCAGCGGCGATGGCTCCGTAGCCAGGCCACCAGTCTTCAACATGGCCCCATGCCTCGCTGGTAAGTGTGAATCAATTTATGTTCCACAAGTAAGATATCAGAAGTTACAGTGGGCAGATAAGTTGGATGTATTTGTGTATGTCTGTGCATCAGGAGCACTGAAGAAATGTTCAACCTGTCTGACGAGAGCTGCAGCTCCAACCCTGCGGTGATCCGGAGGAAGAAGATTGCCATCAGCATCATTATAAGCCTGCCAGAGAGAGAGGAGGAAAACCACAATTTTCAGGAGTTTTTCTTCTCCCACTTTCCTTTGTTTGAGTCTCACATGAACAAACTCAAGACTGCCATCGAGAGGGTAAGTGTGATAGTGCAGGCAAGTTATTTGTTGTCATAGTAACCAATTTTAGCCAAATGTTCTAGTATTCATCTAAAAAATTATAATAATAATTTTGTTTCATAAACAGTTATTATCAGAATTTAAAATGTCTGTTTAAAAACATTACAGAAACGGCAAACAGGGCAAAAGGCCAAACAATCTTATTTTACAGACCAAAGAAAACAACCAACAAGGCTGATACTGGTTTATTATGCCAGCTTATACAGTTTTGATGGGTGGGTCAGAGCAAACTAATTTTAGTATGACCTTTAGTAATCTAGTGGTGTTGCTTTAAAATCGAGATGCATGGAGAATATATTCTGAATAGGATTGTGAATAAAAATTGACTGTTATATTGAAATGCAATTCCTCCGCTTTGGTAAAGCTGTTGCCTTTTCAGCAGGCATTACTTCAGTCTTGCAGTGTAGAAAAAATTTAATATTTATTTGAAATAGAATTTTCTTTAAAGGGATTAGACTATGCTTTTTCACTTTTTCAACTTTAGTTAGTGTGTAATGTTGCTGTTTGAGCATAAAAATGATCCGCAAGGTTACAAAGCTGAAAGTCCACTACAAAGGGAGATATTTAACAGAATCCACTTTCCAAGACTTATTTGGACTACAACACATTTTTTCCAGATTAGATTTTGTGAAGTCATAATGTTACTTATTTAAATAATCTCCGCCCACGGAATATGCAAAAATGTTGTGAGGCCTGGTTGAGCAGCTGCTGCTACTGTATGTCAAAGAGACGCTGTTTTTTCCACCCATTTTCCAAAACCCATTTGTTTGACTCCTTAAGGCTGACAAACTTAGAGTTCCTGAACATTATAACCCCAACGTTTTTCGGTGTGCTGCACATTTTACGGAAAACAGCTTCCAGAAACTTAGAGAGCACAATGCAGACTATATGTACAAAAGCTCTCCTAAAACGGAGCAGTTCCCATTTTGTTGGGACAATCTGTTGTTTATGGATCACAACTTTAAGTATGTCTTATAATTTGCAGTTGCGTTTTCTATTAACAGTTCCAATTATTAAGTTTTATGTTGTTGCAACGATGTAAACAAAGGGCAAAGATTTGCCTCCACTAGACTGCTAACTAGCATTACTGTATTGATGTAGTGTTTACTGTAGCGTTTGTAAGCTCCCTTAGGAAAATTAACCATGGTTTTGTGAAATTGTGATTGATTACTGTTTGTACTACTATAGTTTTCCGACACATATCATGATTAAATTGGTGTATACCATTGTATTTAAAATGTATAAGAAAATTACAAAAAAGCATACCTCTCTGAAACGTCCTATGAAATCCGTGCTTGCAAAGTCTGTGCATGAAATCCGTTCAGGACGATCCTCTTGTTTGTTAACATTCTCTGAATCAGGCTTGAATTGGTTTGAAATTGACGCCATCGTTAATATTTACATCTGAGTAGAGCTCACGGTTATGGTAAGGTGCGTGACATTTCCCGAACACACGCTAAAGCTGCCAATCACAAAACACTGGGCCAGCTAACCAATCACAAAACACTGGGCCAGCTAACCAATCACAGCACATTTCGTATTTCGGAAGAGAGGCTTCATTGAAATCGGAGTGTTCGAACCAGACTGGGCAGAGAGGTTCTGTAATAATGTAAAATAATGTTTTTGTTTTTTTTTGTTTTTTTTACAGTCAAGCATGAAAGCATATTCTAGTACACCCCAAAAACAAAATCAAGACTTCATAAAAGGGCATAATAGGACCCCTTTAACAATGTAAATGTTTTTACTGCCACTTTAAATAATGATAATTTACAGCATCCTTGCTGATAAAAGTTTTTTTTTTTTTTTTTTAATCTTGTATATACTGTACTATTTCTATTTGCATAACATTTAAACTTTACCTCAAAGTTCAAACTGTGTGTTTTTGTTTTTCAGGCAATGATTCTGTGCAGAAGGATAGCTGAGTCCAGTCAGCGAGTGCAGGTCTATCTGTGTCGAGTGATGGAAGCACTGGGAGAATTCAGGTGAAAGTGAGAGGGATGTGGTGCTGATATCATCACCCTTCTTACAGTATATTTTTGGCATTATATTCTTCATGTACAGTTCATGTACAGTGTACTATTTTTGTAGCAGTGAATAAAATGACAATTAATTCAGCAAGCCCGTGATCATAGCACTGGTAATGTATTTTCAGACGCCTTGTGTTTGCCTCTAAAATTACAGAACAAATATGAATCTTCATGCCCCCCTACAGTATTAACATCCTTTGTTTCATGACCAACTTGGTGCAGAGGATATTGTTACAAAAGCCCTCAAGTTTGAGATCAAGTAAATTTCAACATTGATTTGGGTTAGTCTCATCTGGTTCTCTATTGGTTTGTAGGATGACTGTGTGGAACCTGTACATGGCTCCCCGCATCAGCGAGCCAGTCTGGCTTTCCATGATATCCCAAAGTACCGAGCGAAACCTACTGTGTCATCGCTTTCTGAAGGAGATGAGTTTTCTGATGGAACACGGAGCCAAGAGCCAGTCAGTGGTTTTTAACCTTTCTACTAAACATATTACTTAAAAATCTTTAACCCTGTTCTTTTACTAGTACTGTGTAATCAAAGGGATATGTGGAAAATCAATTATTTGTTTCCATCACCATCACTGATCCTAAGCGTGTCAGGAAACACAATTGGCAAGGTGTGTCTGTGTGGCAGTCAGTCTTAAGTGATTTCCTCTTGATTGCCTTATTGTATTGAGTTCTGGTGGGAACTTTGTGAACTATTCCTTTCATTTTTGTCTAGGTTTCTCTCAGCTCTCCTTACTGCTGTTCTTACGCGTCACTTAGCCTGGGTTCCCACGGTGATGCCAAGCAGCTTGCCGCCAATCACACCTGCCGGCCAGAAACCTGCCTCACAGTCAGTTGATCTGTTGGCAAAATCTCACCCATACAACCCACTGTGGGCTCAATTAGGTGAAAAAAAATGCACACAAGACTAAATATTTAAATATATAGTATACTAAATGTATAATATATATACTCATACAAACATTCATACAATATTCAAGCAGGAATGTTGAGTCTACTGCACTCTGGACATCACATTAGTAGTTTTGAAAATTTTCAAAAAATCATGCCATGAGCAATTAATTACATATCTCATATATATATATCATTCACAACATAGTTATTTTAACTAGAGTTTCAGCAAATAAATTGTTTTATAAATTAAAGAGGGCCTATTATGTTTTTGTTTTTTTACATTTTCAACTTACTTTAGTGTGTAATGTTGCTGTTTGAGTATGAAAAAGTTACGAAGCACAAAGTCACTCCAAAAAGAGTTATTCTTTAGCATAAGCACTGTTTCTGAACTCTCTGAAACCAGTCGATTGTTACTAGTCTTGAGTTTCTTCTTTTGAAGATTCCTCATTTAAATAATTCCTGACCAAGGCATACGCAAAATAAAGAGGCGATGCCTGGTTGAGTTGCATAGTGTTTTGAAACTCGCGGTTATGGTAAGGAGCGTTACATTTCCGAAACGTGCTCAAAGCAGTTGACCAATCAAGAGAACATTTAGCTTTTCTAAAAAGAGGGGCTTCATAGAGACTGAAACTAACAGAGCGTTACTGACAGACTGGGTAGAGAGGTGCAGCAACAACATAAAATATGTGGAAAAAAGAATTTTAACATTCAAGCATGAAAAACTATTCTAGTAGACTAAAAAACTAAATCAAGACTTGAAGCATAGCATAATATGGCCTCTTTAAATAACCATGATGGATGTAAATGAAAATATAATATTGTTCACATTAAATGAAGCATAAGTGTGGCAGCAGTGCAAAAACAGCTTCATATTATTTAGCACTTGAGTTAAAAATACTCAAACAATGAAAATAATATTGTAAAACAGATTTATAAAATTCTGATTGGATGAGCCAAGTTTGAAGCAATTTCAATTTACATCTGTCTCTGCACATCAGTTAAATTCTGTATAATTTGATATAATTCTGTATAAACAACATATACATACTTTATGATTCTTATACATCATTAAAACAATTATTATGTACAGAGTCATATACTTAAATGTGTTAAATATTCATTTTTACTATTACTACTAAATTCTCACTTTAACGTGGGAGAGACAATGACTCATTTAGATAAGCTATAGTTTCTTTTTTTGTTGAGGTTCATTTATTTAATATTGTATTTTTTTCTTTTAGTATATATTTGTGTTTTTCCATCCACAAAAATTAGTTTGAGATCAAACAATAATTCAATTCAATAATTCCCTGAAGACTGGTCTTGCATTCTCATTTTCATGGTGATTTTTTTACTTAAAATAACTTGACTTTTTTGAGCTGTCATATACAAAAGAACACGTCGCTAATGTTTGTCTTTTTAAAAAAAGTCACTTTGCTAGTCCTGCATTTGTTTTCATTTGCAACTATAAACCAGTTTTGTTACTGTATTATATTATTTGTTGTGTGTTGTTTAGGTGATCTGTATGGTGCATTGGGCTCTCCAGTGAGAGTGTGTCGAACGGTGGTCGTGGGACGCAGGAGGGAGCTGGTACAGCGAGTTTTGTATGTTCTGTCCTACTTCATTCGCTGCTCAGACCTGCAGGAGCATGTACAACCTCAAGGACAGATGAACGATCCGGCCAATCCCTGCACCTCTCAAACCACTGATCCCACCTCTGGAAGTGAAAGGATCAATGAAAAAACAGACCCCTTAAAGCCCTCTCTTAGTGTTATTGGAACCAGTGAAAAAGCACTGAACTCTGGCTTGGGCGATGCCATTCCAGGCACCTTTGTAGGACAAAATGATGAAACTCTTTTGACTGATACAAAATCAACTAATCCATCCCCCAGTATGGAATCGACCACTGTCAGGCCTGAATGTACAGAAATGGGACAGGAATGTTTTGGAGAAGACAGTGACTCTGTTGGGGGTGGATTAGAGCACATTTTGGCCAATCAGAGTCCTCTTCTGCATAGGGTGCAGTTTCACATTGGCAGCCCCAGGGAGGCAGATAATGACGGACAAGCAAGCGGTCTTACTGGGGTGGGGTGTGGGCGAGGATTGGACAGGAAGTTGCATCAAAGGATTTTGAGTGACATACAAAGGAACGAGAGCTCAGATAGTGCTCTAGGTGACAGTGATGATGAGGAAACATCACCGCAAGAACTGTTCGTGGCTACAGAACAAAAGGAGTGCGAGTTACCACTGCCAAAGTAAGTGCAAACTAATCTCACTCTCTTAATTTAAAGGGGTCTTGTCATGATGCATAACATTGTATTTTACCTTTTGACAGTTGTTGTACTGTGAAAACATACCGTAATAGGTTTTTTGCAAACTTCTGCAATTTTTTTTATGTTAGACGGATAAATGCATTTGAACACATGACGGTTCACATCTACATCTCAGTGTTGCCTATTCAGTGTTCAGAAACATGGTCCAACCATGATGAGGAAGTAGGATAAAAAATATTATTAACACCAGAAAAACTAGTGATAATGTAGCAGCTGCTGCTCTGCATATACATCTGAATAATACCAACAAGAATATCAGCATTAAGGGATAGGTCACCCAAAAATGAAAATTACCCCTTGATTTACTCACCCTTCTTTTATGATGGATGGATGCACTTTTTTGGGCTTCAAAATCTCATCCTCCATTCACTGTTATTATAAAACTTGGAAGAGCTAGGACATTTTTATATGTATAATATATCTCTGATTGTATTCGTCTGAAAGAAGAAAGTCATATACACCTAGGATGGCTTGAGGGTGAGTAAATCATGAGGTAATTTAATTTTTTGGGTGAACTATCCCTTTAAGTTTATTATTAACAAAGTCATTAGTTCAATATGATCTTAATAGTTTGTGTGACACTTTTCTGATCATTTTGTTACTGGACCTGACATGAAGCCCACAGCTTCCAAGTGCAGCACAGTCATGCTGTATCATTTTACACGCATTGATAGGAGTCTAAAAGGGATACTCCACCCAAAAATGAAAATTCTGTCATCATTTACTCACCCTCAAGTTGTTGCAAATCTGTATGAGTTTCTTTCTTCTGCTGAACACAAAGGAAGATATTTTGTAGAACGATTGGAACTTTGGCACCATTGACTTCCATAGTATTTTTTTTTCTACTATGGAAGTCAATGGTGCCAAACAACTGTTTGGTTCCAATCGTTCTTCAAAATATCTTCCTTTGTGTTCAGCAGAAGAAAGAAACTCATAAAGGTTTGCAACAACTTGAGGGTGAGTAAATGATGACAGAATTTTCATTTTTGGGTGGAGTATCCCTTTAAAGGCAGCTAAAAAAAAAGAAGGAAAATAGTGTTAAAACCCTAAAGTATATTTTTACTGTTTTTGACAGAAACAACATTTTTAATGGACATTAAATAAAATCATAACTTTTTTTTATTTTTATTTTTTTACATTTTTAAAAAATGTTTGCATTGAAATGTAGAAAATAATGTTTTATTTTATTTATTTTTTAAGTAAAATTGTATCTAATATAGTTGTATTTAATGCAACATTTATTTTTGGCCCACAGCTATCAATCACGTTAGATTTTTAGCTTTTCGTAGTAAAATGTTTTAGCACATCTGCAAGGAAGGCTGCAATAACCATTTGTGTTTGTTTCTGTATAGTTATCAGGTAGAGAGTCGAGCCAGTGTTAATCATTTTGGGCATTCTTTGCTGGGTGGTTACTGTCCTCAGTACATGCCTGACTTTGCCTTGCATGGCATCAGTTCCGATCTCAGGCTCAAACAGTGCCTTATGGCTGACCTGGAACACACTGTTCTTGTAAGTACAGTTACATTTACAGTTATTACTGCATACAGTAAATGTTTCATGTATGTTCACACAATCACAATCATTCATTTGACAATTTTTGCTCCAGTGTTTTATGTCTGTTAGTTTTAATGTTTAGCATGTGTAATTTAATTTGGTTTCTTGTTTAAGGTTTGGATTTTAGGTTGACTAGGGTAATGCCATTTTTAATTTTTGACAGAAATGAAAATGAGGAAAATGACCGATTGTTCAGCTGACTAAAAGTCTTTCGAAAAAAAAAAAAAAAATAGACAAAAACATACAAGTTTTGAAAGTTGCTTGTAAAGGCCTGTTCACACCAAAAACGATAACTGTACAGATAACTATAACGATATCTATATTAGCGTCCACACCAGTGGGCGATAACGTTCTTTTTATTATAAGCACGCGCTGCAGTTTTCGTTCGACAAAACGTTTTACTGTTTTTATCGTTCATCAGCTGGAAAAAAACATTCCAAAAGTGATTCCAACGATATCGTTTCTCATTATTGTTAAAGTTATCGTCCTTGGTGTGAACTGGTTTTTAGTCTATCCCTCACAGCCTCGTTTTCATCAACGTTAAATTTAATATGGCGTCTAACCTGACTAGGTCTATACCGTACATTAGGAAAAAGTGTGTACCTTTGTGTATGTGCAGCATCCGGCGCTGGATGAACCCGTGGCCGAGGCTTTGTGCATTGTGGCAGATACAGACCGACTGAGTGTGCAGGTGGTGACGAGTCAAAGGCGCGTGTGTGAAGGCGGGCGGATGGGCAGGGACGTGATGGTGTCCAACCTCATACACACTCTCATCACATCAGTTCTGCAGCTATATGCGCTCAACATCGCAACCGATTTTGTAAGTCTCCTCAACACACACACACACATATTTACAGTTTATTACCTGCAGTGTTCAGTATGTTTATCTGCACTACTCTTCAAATGTTTGGGGTTAGTAGGATTTTTAAAAAAGAAATTGATACTTTTATTTCTGCAAAGATGCATTAAATTGATCGTAAGACTTTTCTACATGCTGTTCTTATGAAATTTCTAATCATCCAAGAATCCTGAAAAAAATATACCAGTTTCCACAAAAATATTAAGCAGCACAACCTTTTTCAACATAGATAATGAGAAATGTTTCTTGAGAACCAAATAAGCATATTAGAATGATTTCTGAATGATCGTGTGAAGAGTGGCTGCTGAAAATTCAGCTTTGCCAGAAATAAATGACATTTTAAAATAAAGAAAAAAATAGAAAACAGCTCATTTAATAATAATTCTTTTTTTTTTTTTTTACTGTTTATATATTATATATATATAAATGCAGCCTTGGTGAGCATAAGAGAATTCTTTTCAAAAAACATCTTTAAAAAATCTTACAGGCCCCAAACTTTTGATCAGTAGTGTAGATTCTGATTTTTTTTTGTGTGTGTTTTTATGCAAACATCATCTCAGTGTGTGATGCATCTGGAGGACCGGTTACAGGAGGTGTATTTTAAGAGTCGATCCTTAGCAGAATATCTGAGAGGTCAAACCAGGGTCCATGTAAAAGAACTGGGGCTGGCACTGGGGTAAGATCACCTACTTATTAGATGTGTTCATGCCATGTTGTAATTACCGTAATTACGACATTTTAACTTGTAAAAAGCGTTCACGTCCTTGTAGATCTCGAAATATAGGCTTGGAAGATAGGAATTTTTGGAGAGCTCCTTCATGTTCCATGTGACCGCTGTAACACCTGACTGCTGCAGATTCATTTAAGCGTTGATAGTGTTTCCATACAAACGCATAATTTCCAGTCCGAGGACGTGAACAGCTCCGAATAGAACGTCACGTGTTGTCATCTGGATATTATGGCAATTAAGACATGGCTTGAACACAGCAATTGTCACTAATCCTACACTTAAGTCAAGCATTATGATATTCTAAATGCAGACAGTGTGAGAAATAAAACAGCATAATGTCAAATGTATGAATGTATTATTATTTTCCCCCCAGAATTGAGTCCAGTGACATTCCATTGCTTGCAGCAGTGGCCAGCACACACTCGCCCTACGTGGCTCAGATCCTCCTTTAAATAGACCAAGCTAGATTTATTTCACAAAAAGGACCAATCAGAATGTGTTCCTGTTCTGCATGGACCAGTAAGGATCTGATCATTATCAGATGACCACACCAATCAAGATGCACTGTGCTCGACAACCATTCGGAGCCTACACCCAGCCTTAAAATACCAATCAGAATGCCTTGTTTGTCCAGCTGACAGTCTGTGTATGTACGTACGTACGAGTGTGCATCTAACTAACTATCTATAGACTGAAACGGGCACCACACAGGGACAATTGTTAATGCTCTCCATTTTTTTTATCTGGTGTCTTTTTAAGTCTTATATGAAAGGAAAGGAGACCGCAAAGATTATATATGGAAAACATCTCTAAGAGCAAGAATATGGACAAGCATCAATACATTTGATCCTTCCGTACTATGATTGCTACCGCTACAGTATATCGGAATGCACAATAGTGTATTTAGGGGTAGTCCTCTCAAAAAGTTTTAAAAAAAATTGTCATCATTTTTTCACTTTCATTTCATGCCAAACCTGTATGTAAGATATTTTAAAGTACAATGGAAGTCCCTGGGAACCAAAGCTGTTTGGTTATCCATCAATGTTCTTCAAAATATCTTCTTTTGTGTTCAGCAGAAGACAAGAAGTCATACAGGTTTGGAACAACATGAAAGTGAGTAAATGATTACAGAATTTAAATTTTTTGGTAGAATATCCCTCTAAGGATGAAAGCATAACTATAAAATATATAGTCTCTCTGTGAAGCACATTAGTTTACATCAGGAGCCACATTTTGTTGCATTTCTGAGACACGACTATTCTTGAAAGAAATAGTTCACCCAAAAATAAAAATTCTGTCAATTTACTTACCCTCATGTCATTTCAATTTTGCAGGATGGACTTTTTTATTTTTTAAGGATGATTCTTTTCCATATAATACAAGTGAAATAAGATTGGGACTGCAGCAAAATGACATAAAAATACCATAAAAATGTAATTAAAATGTGGTCCATACAATTATATTATAATCTATGCTCTAATTTTCTGAACTTTTTGACTTTTTAGAGCTTGACAGCCCTAAAAGACTGTCATCACATGGAAAAGAATAGCCAGGATAATCTTAAAATGTCACCTTTTTTGTTTTACAGAAAAAAGTCAGTCAGTCATATAGGGTTGGAACAACATGAGGGTGAATATAAAATTGCGGGATTTTCTGTCCTTTTAAACCCTTAAATTCCAACCAAGCACACAACTCTGAAACCATAAAAAGGACATTTAAATTGAATCTCTGAAATTTCATTCAAGAAAAGCATCAGTTTGTTCCTGTATAATTATTGACAATGTAAGTCATAGCAGCGTTTAGTTCCTTTTGTGGGAATTTGATCAAATCAATCCGTTATCATAGTTTTCTACTCAGTGTGATCTTACGTTTCGTTTAATCTGCAATTGAAGTATTTTTCATAGTCCATATTCTCCAGAAAACTGTGTGTGTGCCTCAATCTTTGAAAGATGAGAGAATGTTTACATAATGGAAAAAGTGGGTGTGATATTAAATTGTGTTAATGGTAATTACTGGACAGTCCACAGATTGTGGATTACAGTGTTAATCTGGTGCTACTATTGTGTCAAAGGCTTACTAAAGCACACGTTTACGCTCTGTCCTTGAGAATGCTTTATATTCCTTTCAGTGGTGTTTTGCACTGAAAGACATAAATGTCATAGCAATAGAACCCCAATAGTAGTTTGTGACACAAGACATTGAAAAAGTAGTTTTTTTTATTGTTGTTTATTGTTCCATTTTAAAGAGCTAGAGAAAGATGATTATTTTTTATATTTTCACAAAATACTCTACCTCAAATAAAAGATCTGAATGAATGAGTTTGATCAGTCAGTATCACACATCAAGGATGCAGTGTGCTTATGTCTTCAGTGAGTATACACTTAAAAGCTGCATTTTGGATTAAAACATTACATGTGCAAACGTCTTTAGTGAATTTCTGTACTGAAAGTAAATGTAAATTTGTCTTGCTTTGTTTACAATAGTTTTGTTGAGGTTGGAACTTTGAACACTAAGGTTTTGCTATACTTTCAGTAGTCTTGTTTTACTTTTGGTCTGTTCCCTGCATGGCGTTTATACTCCAGGTTGAATGTGGTTGAGTATTTTGTCTGTGACAATATGATGTTGCTAAGAACTGAATTAGTGAATAAACAAATTGCCAGAAATTGAACAACTCTGCATTTTGTAGTTGTATATCTTCTTTTGCATGGTCCAGTTTAAAATTGTGAATGATAGCAGCCTATGAACTTATATAGAGCTGTTTTAAGTTTTCTTGATATTGTTTTGACCAGTGTTTCAATATCTTTTAAGTGAACGAATTGTTCTTGTTAACTTCACCTGTGCACTAATCATATTACTAATCATACCATCACATTAATCAAACAGACAATTTGGTTAATTTTTAAAACATTATGTATATATTTGCATATACAGTCATGTGAAAAAGAAAGGACACCCTTTAGAGTTTTATGGTTTTACAAATCAGAACATAAAAATCATCTGGGCCCGTATTCATAAATAATCTTAATGCAAAGAGTAGCTCCTAGTCACAAAATTCTTAGAAATGTGGGTGTTTACTCTTAAAATTAAAGAAAAAGTCCTAGTAAAGAAAAAAGTAATTCAGAAAGTATCTTAACCCTTAAAAGAGGTCTTAAGGTCAAAATTGTTAGGAGTACGGGTGAGGACTTTTAAGAGGCTTAAGGGTTTCTTTAGCAGAGGAGAAATGGCAGAAAGACGAAGAGGGAGAAGAAATGTGTTGCAGACAATCATGACAGTGAGTTAATAAGACACTATAGATTGACACCCGGCCCGAATTTTCCTTTAAGGATGGCCTTGTGTTCATCCACTATCTGGGCTAACAGTAAACACTGTTCCTCTGTCCAGTCGGGCTTTCTCGTCCTTCTTGGTTTTGATTCCATGTTTGTTACATTAAAACCAACATTCAAACCACCACTTAAATAGACAGCAATCAGTGTAATTGGAAAGAGTGGAACAATTTTTATCATTCTAAGCCAATCAAATACCTTATACAGGAAAATAACAGCATGGTAATTTTAAAAAAAGGATTTATATACACATATTTAATGTGTGTGTGTGTGTGTGTGTGTGTGTGTGTGTGTGTGTGTGTGTGTGTGTGTGTGTGTGTGTGTGTGTGTGTGAGAACGGTCAAATAGAAAAAAATTACTCATGTAATTTGAAAGTGAAGGCTTAGAATAGACCCTATACTTAAAATCACTCTTTTTTTTTTTCCTTCTTGGACAACCAACCAATCACAGTCTTTAAAAGATTGTGTCATACATAGCAACGGGGTCAACCCCGCCTTCTCACTAAGATGAAAGTTTTTGTCTTTTCCTTACTCAGAGTTGCTCTCAGATCGGTCCCGAATCGCTCTTAAGCTAAGACTCCTACATAAAAGTGTTTAAGCTAAAATAAGAGTTTTCTTAGAAACTCGTAGAATCTTTATGAATACGGGCCCTGGTCTTTAGCAGGTCTTAAAAGGTAAATACAACCTCAGATGAACAACAACTGACATATCACACCCGTGTCATTATTTAACAACAATAAAGCCAAAATGGAAAAGCCATAAACTAAGAACACCCTATGACTCAATTGCTTGTAAAGTCGCTTTTAACAGCAATAAGCTGAAGGATTCATTTTCTGTATGACAGTTTAGTATCTCTCACTTTGTTGGAGGAATTTTGGCCCGCTCTTCTTTACAACGTTGCTTCAGTTCATTGAGGTTTACATTGAGGTTTCGTTTATTTATGCACAGCTCTCGTAAGGTCCCGCCACAGAATTTCAATCGGGTTGAGGTCTCTGGTCTGCTCTGGTGCAACACCTTGATTCTTTTCATTTTCAGCCATTCCTGTTGTGGATTTGCTGGTGTGCTTGGGATCTTTGTCTTGTTGCTTATCCCAATTCAGCCAAGCTTTAGCTGTCTGACAGATGGCCTCACATTTGACTCTAGAATACTGTAGTACTGTATTCTTACTGTAGAATAATGGACTACAAATTGTTTGCAAATGGCTGTATAACCCATATCAGAATGATGGCAGCAACAATTGCTTCTCTAAGACCATTGATGTATTTCCTTCTTGGCATTGTGCTAACACACACCTGAATGCTCCAGACCATCAAACTGCTAAAACATCTGCTTTTATAGAGGTGATCACACTTGATGATGATTAAAGTTAATCAAAGATATTTGATTAGCAGCGCTTGACTGCTACTACCCTCTTAATTCCTATGGGAGCAGTAAGGGTGTACTTAGTTTGTCACCCATGGCTTTTCCATTTTGGCCTAGTTTTTGTTAAATAAATAGTGACACAGTGTAATATGTCATGTTTTGTTGTTCATCTGAGGTATGTACATCATTTAAGACCTGCCAAGGACCAGAATTTTTTTAGGTCCTGATACATAAATCCAAATTTAATAGGGTGTCCTTTCTTTTTCACATGACTAGCATATAAACACTGCATATACAGCTAAGAACAGGAAAATGAGGCTACAATTCACATGGGCTCACCAAAATGGGACAATAGAAGACAGGTAAAAAGTTGGCTGGTCTGATGAGTCTCGATTTCTGCTGTAACGTTCAGATTATAGGGTCAGCATTTGGCTTAAACAACATGAGAGCATGGATCCATCCTGCTTATGGATATGACCGTTCATGCTGGCTGGTGGTGAAATGGTGTGAGGGATATTTTCTTGGCACATTTTGGGCCCCTATACCATTTGAGCATCATTTAACACCAAATCCTACCTGAGTATTGTTGTTGACCATGTCCATCCCTTTATGACCACAGAGTACTACCCATATTCTGATGGCTACATCCAGCAAGATAACATGCCAGGTCACAAAGCTCAAATCGTCTCAAACTGGTTTCTTGAACATGGCAATGACTTCACTATAGGGTATACCAAACCGCTTCCACACCAGATCTCAATCCAAGAATAGAGGATCCTTTGGGATGTGGTGGAACAGGAGATTCACATCATGTATGTGCAGCCGACAGTTTAGCTTGGTATCAGTTCCTAATGATATAGGCTACTTCACAATTCTTTATGTAAACAATACATTTTTGCATGTTACGATAGCCTAAAATGACTCACATATGAAATTTCAACATCATTCATAAATAATGACAGTGTAAATTGATTGAATTTATGATTGAATCAGGCACTTCAGTATGACTGACTGACTGACTGACTTCTGTGGAACATAAAGATATCTTTAGAAATGTGTTTTTGTGTAGGCTATGCAAGTCTGTGGTAACCAAAACTGGTTACCAACATTCTTTAAAATATCTTCTTGCAGAAGGCAGAAAGTCATACAGGTATGAAACTGCATGAGGGTGAGTAAATGGTGACAGAATTTTCATTTTTGGTAAACTATCCCTTTCAAAATTCAGTTTTGTAAACTCTCCAGTACGGTAGGTGGCGCAATGAGATTTCGTGTTCGCATTCCCAGATATGAAGACGCGCTTGGGCAGCTGATGCGGTCTCCCCTGCCCTGACCTGTCTTTATTGTATGTCTAACTCCATAAGCCAATGCCTCGCCTTACTATCATGGGCAGTTTTTGCACGTATTTTTGGATGGTAACAGAGGACAAACCCGGACTCTCTGAAAACGCTTGAGATAACGTTAGACGAGAAAAGTAAGTGTGTTTCAGGAGTCAGGACTATGTGAGGTAGCAGTAACTGAGCTAGCAGCTAACAGAGTAGCATCTATCCTCCAACATAACTAGCTTAATTTATTAATTGCACCCTTTAAACAATCAGCTGGTATCAATTTGATCGCATCTGAATCGGTTTCCTTTTTTTCTGTTAGCACATAAAATGTGTGTTAATAGGACACCCATTCAAGTTTTACATAAAAGTCGTCCTTTGTCTTATTTTGCAGTAACGTTACATGCGGATTTCTTGTGTTAACCTGACTTTTTGTTTGAAAAGGATGTAAATTACATTTTTGCATCAGACTAACTCTTTGCTCTTCTCTGTTTTAACGTTAGATTAACGGAAACTACTGATGATGGTCAACGACGAGCAGATAACTTTATCACTTACAGAATTCACCATGGTTCCCAGTTACCTTCCGCTGTTATGTTACTAATTACCTAACGGTGTTGGCAACTACCAGTTTTAAAACGTCGAAATTAAAGATAGCAGACAGATTCTGAAAGAGTCTTACGTTGATTGTTAATGTGATTAATAAGGTGGTCCCATTATAATGTATGATGGGTTTAATGTAGATTGACATTGTTTATTATTTATTTGTTTACAAAGAATAACCAAAAAGCACATGCAGTCAGGTTAGACAGTCTCACTTAATTATTTAGTCGTTTTGTGACAAATTGTTAAATTAAGTAATTGCTTCATCTGCATCAGACACTTTTACATAATCAAACATGTCTGTTATAAGTTACACCATCCACATACCTTTTAAATTCCTTTTAGAACTCGTTATTTACTGTAGGACACTAATCCAGACTGTTGTGGTTTTTCTCTTCTCCTTTTTAGGAGAATAAGGAGTGTGGTTAGTTAAACTAAATAATTTTGCAGTAAACCATTGGTTGTTTTGAGTCATGTGCTATTTATTTACAGTACGATGTGGTTTGATCAGATTTAATGTGTTTGCTACCACAGGACAGGAAATGAGTTGGTGTTTGTTGCATGTATAAAATATAAGATTATTTGATTTATCGTCTAATGTCGTTTTTTTTACTATATTGATTATAAATTTAAATTTTTTTTTTTTTTTTTGAAGTATCTGTTTCCTTGCGTATTAACAATTATCATTTTCATTATATATTATCTGTAGAAATGTCTGTAGAAAACCAATAATAAATCAATACGAATAAACCAAATCAAAAGGATTCCATGTAAATGTTTTTTTCTTCTACTCACTATTTGTGTTAGCACTTTAGTCCACAAACCCTTAAAAGTTTGATTCTGTATGATGGATTACATCTACACAGAAAAATTGAATTGAACAATTTTCACTCAGAAATGGCTAATAATATTTCACAAATAATCTCGAAGAAATGGCAAGTAGCCTATGCTAACACATTGAATTATTAAACGTGACATTTTGACACAAAAAGTCTAAAATAGCACTTTCTTGTGAAGGACTGCAATAGTCCTGTTTTATTTACAACTTAAAAAATGTACTGTTGTATTACTGTAAAAATGTATTTACTGTAGTCTGTATTAGGTTTGCTGCGATAATCGGTGTTGCCGGTGTTAAACAGTGTTTAGCTGCACACTGATAACATCAGTTGCCCACTGTGGCAAATCATCATTTTGATATTTATACTATAGTAATAAAAGTCATTTAGCTCAGTTAGAGAACAGACACTACCATTAAAAACTGAACGCATCTGCTCAATTCAGATCAACAGTAGTCAGATTTCAATTAATCACATGACGAGAGTGAGGCGAGCTGCCTGACAAGACAATGAATGGCGGCAGTAAAATACCTACGGGGACACAGGCATTCATAAACGATTTAAAAGTGAGGTGGAAATCTCCAACTTCCCCCTCCCTCCCAGTGATACCGGTGTTACCAGTGTTGTCACACGGCAATTAACCTGTGGGAAAATGTCCTCACCGTCACATCCCTAGTCTGTATTGTTTGAGCATTAAATAGTTCCTCATCTTAACATTCCTCTTCCTTATCTATTCCTTACTTGTTCTCAGGTCATGGATTTCCCAGGGCACTTTGAGCAGATCTTCCAGCAGTTGAACTACCAGCGGCTGCATGGACAGCTGTGTGACTGTGTGATCATGGTAGGCAGCCGTCATTTCAAGGCCCACCGCGCCGTGCTTTCCGCCTGCAGTACGCATTTCAGAGCCCTGTTTACTGCTGCCGAGGGAGACGCCAGCACGAGGATGATCCACCTGGACTCCGAGGTGGTGACAGCTGAAGCATTTGCTGCTCTCATGGACATGATGTACACATCCACGCTGATGCTAGGAGAGAGTAACGTTATGGATGTCTTGTTGGCTGCTTCTCATCTGCATCTAAACGCTGTGGTGAAAGCCTGTAAACACTACCTTACGACTCGCACACTGCCCATGTCTCCTCCGGCAGACCGTGGTGGGCAGCATCACGCTGAGCAGCAACAAGCAGCAGCGGCTGCAAACTCTCATCTCCAGCGCTCATTTCTGCTGCAACAGCTCGGTTTAAGCTTGGTCAGTTCTGCCCTGAGTGGGGCTGAAGATGGGGGAACGGGGACCGGGAGGAGAACGGGATCAGGGTTGGTGGATCAGCATGGCTCTCACCCGACACGCCGTTTCCTGAAGCGCAAACAGCCCATGGCCCTGACCGCTCCTGAGCGGGGGAGGCCGCGCATCTCCTCACAGGTGGGGGTATCGGAGGGCCGAGAGGGTGGAGAGGAGCTTCTGTCTCCAGATTCCCACAGTAAGATGGTGGATGAGGTCGTCGCTGGGATCATTCCTGGGGATGGTGGAGGTTTACTAGAGCAAGATGAGTACAGAAGGGGACTGAACCATGAAGACATGCAACTTCCCAGCCAGTCAGATGGAGGCAGGGGAGCAGGACCGGAAAAAACTTTGCTGCTGCCGCGTAAGGAGGAGTACCCTGACGCGAGCCATCACCATAGCGAGGGGATAAAGATAAAGAATGGAGGTGAGGAAGAAGAGGAGCAGCAGCACATGCAAGTCGTGGTGAAGAGTGAGCCACTGAGTTCTCCCGAGGCTGTTGATGAGACTAGCGACGTTACCTCTCAGGCTGAAGGGAGTGACCAGGTAATTGCTTTTGATATTAAGCTGCTAGTGGGAATGTAAGACATTTTGTTACTGGATTTTAGGCACACATGATTTGTGATTTCCTGAATTTCCCCATGAATCAAACTGCATGCCTTTTCATTTTAGAAAAGTAATATTCATTGTAGATTTATACCATTTTCAAAAAGGAAATGCTGTCACTTGTTTTGTTTTTCATATATTGTTCATGAAAAACATATATACACTTCCATTCAAAAGTTTAAGGTCAGTAAGTGTTTTTTCTTTTTGAAATAATTAAATACCTTTATTTAGTAAGCACACATTAAATTGATCAAAAGTCACAGCAAAGATAGTTCTGACAAAAAAATAACCAGCACTACTGTTTTCAGCATTGATAATGAGAAATGTTTCTTAAGCAGCAAATCAGCATATTAGAATGATTTATGAAGGAACATGTCACATTGAAGACTGGATCTGAAAATTCAGCTTTGGCAATGCCATCACAAAAATTCATTGCATTTTAAAATGTATTAAAATAGAAAACGGTTAATAATAATAATAATCATATTTTACAATATTATTGTTTTTGAAATTTGTTGTGAGATTTTTCGTGAACAAAAGAAACAAAATTAATCACTTGTTCCATTTTATTCCTGCTTCAAAATATATTATTGAAACAATTATTGTTATTGACAGTTTATAGCCATTTTAGTAGATATGAGCTTTTATTGCCTATGAAAAAAAATTGTTGCCAGGGGTTGTTACCAAGATGGACTTAGTAAATATTTTGTAACTACTAGTACTTGCTTTGTAAATACTTAGTATTAGTTAGTAGTTAGTAAGAATGTGATGTTTCCTCAGGTGGAACCAGTTGGAGAAAAGCTGGAGCTGAGTCCGGAGGGCAGTGAGCGCAGCTTCTCTGATCCCCATCCCAGCTCTGAGCTACTGCTTAAAGGAAACAAGGGATTAGGAGCAGGAGAAGACAGAGGAAGAAGAGAGGAGCTCACCTGCAGTGAAGCTCTGGAGTCGTCCTCCGGATTGCATATCTCCAGTTTCCTCAGCACAAAGACCTTTGCTGGCAGAGGGGCGTCATCTAACCTTACTCATAGTGTTGACAATGTTCCCAACACTACAACCGGAGAGTTTCAAGCAGACCACGATTCTGCTCGCTACTTCCTCCCTACTGATTCCATCAACACTGCATCATCCTCTCTGCATCTTCTTCCAGGCGAGGCTCAGGTCTGCTCTGACTTGCAGCCAGAGTCCCTCTTTTTGCGGCCACTGCATGATGGAATAGCATCATCCACTTCATTAACTGCGTCCCGTGGTGGATCGGTGGACCAGCTTGCGCTCGAGTTCCAGCGCAACATTTTGGGATTACAGACCTTCCCTCGTTCATCCAGGGGTGGCGGCGGGTGCCACTCATACCGGCGCATCGCTCCCAAAGTACCGCCAGGAGGGGCTTTAACGCTTACGGATGGCCCTCAGCAACTTGACGTTGCTTCCTCGTCCTCTTCCTCCTCAATGCTTCTCAATGGAGTAAGCTTTGAGGGATCTGTCAATGTAGGTCAAAATGGTGGCAGCTCCAACTTGAACCCTCTCCCCCAGTTGACAAGAGCCTCTGCAGATGTTCTGTCAAAGTGTAAAAAGGCGCTTTCCGAGCACAACGTGCTAGTGGTGGAAGGCGCCAGGAAGTATGCCTGCAAGATCTGCTGTAAGACGTTCCTCACTCTGACGGACTGCAAAAAACACATCAGAGTTCATACGGGAGAGCGCCCGTATGCCTGTCTGAAATGCGGCAAACGCTTCAGTCAGTCCAGTCACTTGTACAAGCACTCGAAAACAACCTGCTTACGATGGCAGAGCAGTGAAATGTCTAATGCCCTGCTCTAATTCATCACATTCGCACGCACTCCAAAGACGCCATACAAGGATGACTTTTGCAGTCAGTTTCTCTGCTGTATGGGCAGACCTGTACACCGTAATCTTACATCCACCATTATAGTAGCTTTAGTAACTTTAAAAAAAATAGTTTTTCAACACTGTTGTATGTTCTTAACATGCTTCCAATTAACATGCCATTGATGGTACAAATTAAATGGATGGCTCACCCAAAAATGTTGTTTCTAACCTGACTTTCTTCTGCAGAACAAGTTTTTCTTTTTGGTCCATACAATAAACGTCAGTGTGGTTTGTTTTAATTTTATGGACAAATACAGTTGAATCGTTTTCCAAAATTTCATCTTTTGTGTTCGGCAGAAGAAAGCAACTCATACAGGTTTGGAACAACCTTGTGAACAAAAATGTCAATTTAAATTTACATTCTTTTGTGTGTACTATCCCTTTAGGGTTCACTGTGAAATGTTTTTAAAAGAAGATTGATGGAGAGGTCTGCTTCAAGCATCGCAAGCAGATGTCAGACAGAACCTTAGTAGCTGAATCCTGGATCATGATGATCAGAAGCTTTTTGAGTTTCAGTCCCTCTATGAAAGTTAGTGTTGTATTGTCAGCTGTCTTGTTGAGGTATTTTTGCTTCAGTGTACCTTTAGGCCAGTGGTTCTCAACCAGGGAGCCACTAGGTGAATTCGCAAACTTCCGGGGAACCCAAAGTCTTAAAATTATTTAAATTGAGTTACATTAACATAATCTTGACTTAAATGCTAAAGATACTTAAAATAAACATTAAACTTCATCATATTTTATTACTTTAGAAGTACATATCAGCTTTAATAGGTGGCCCTGTTGAAAATTGGTAAAAAGATGAGAAGTGCTGCTTAAGCTCTGTTCCAAAACCAAGCGAGCTGCCTGGCTGTCCACTGCCTACTAAGGCAGTATCCTAACTGAAATGGAAGCTCACATTGGAACATAGGCAGTTGCTTTGTGCGCCACACATAATGCTTAATATTACGGAGCTCCTAAGGTAGAGGTGAGCAGCTCCGGTCCTGGAGGGCCACTGCCTTGCAGAGTTCAGCTCTATGTCTAATCAAACAAACCTGCCTGTCATTTTAGTTAGATTTATTTTAAGGTATGTTTGATTGGGATGAAGGAGCTAAACTATGCAGGCAACTGGCTCTCAGGTCCGGAGTCGCCCATCCCTGCAGTAAAGGACATGGTGACGGGAAAAAATTTGAAAAATATTTCATTGCTCATGAAACTCATTTTCTTGTAAAACGTTTGGATTTTCTTGCAAACGTTTTTCATTCCCCTGAGAAACTTTCCATTTACTTGCAAACTTACATTTCAATGATTTTGTGTCCACTAACGCAAAGTTTCTCGAGGCAAACAGAAACCTTTTGCAAGAGAATGTGAAAGTTTTGCAAGAAAATGCAAAGTTTTAGAACTTAAGACTTTTTGCATGGGCTAACGCAAAAGCACTGAAATATAATTTCTCCTTACATTTCATTTTCCCCATTAGGGGCTCTGTATAGCTTATAGTTGATTCCAATGGAGTTTGAAGTAAAGTCCCTTTTAAGGAAAGTAATTTCACTCGGCGGCTATATTTGGCAGCTATTTCGGGTATCCAAGACCAAGTTCTGTCTACTTTAATGGAGAAATCCTGGAACCTCGAAACTGCTTGACCCTCTCACATTTAAATAACATAATTCAAATCTCTTATGAGCTGTCCAAATGTTTTATCTTATGCTTAAATAGTGCTAAATTTCAGGTTAGTTCAACCAGTGCACACTAAGCGTGTCTCAGGACACTGACTGTGGACTATGTCAACTGGAGCTTCTAACAGCAGTTGCAGTGATGCGATGACTTTACCAAATGCTGATTGGCTGGTACTTCCGTCATAATTTTCGTTGCACTTTCTCCCATTCATAGTATAGTGCATCATCTTGGTTTGATGTTTAAATGTTGCTGAATAGTATTTTTAAAATATTTTAATCAGTACTTTAAGTATATTTATAATCATGCAACCATTTTAGATGCATTTTTTCCCCCAGTGAGTTTGGTGCAATGCATTCTGGTATTGCCTTCGTTGTGCGGGATACATGCGATTCAGCTTTAGAATTTGGCCAAAATCATCAGCCTTCACGCTGAGAAACTGGCTATAAAGCCTTACAATGCTGTCTAGGTTGTAAGCTTGCTAGTTTTTCGAACACAGCTAATATGTAGCAAATGGTTTATGAGATGAGATGAGCCTACCAGAAACACTACTGGTACACTTTTATTGTTAAAAGGTCAAATATAATGCCTTCTATTATAAGGCAACAACAAGTAGGAGCTGAAACAAGTTAGTATGACCATATGTGGAAATAAAGCTAAATTGATTGAGAGCCTTGTTGCCCAGATCTCCCTAAACTAAAAAACCTAATGATTAAACACTGTCTGGTGTTTTCTATGGACCACAGTCATTATGCGTAGAAACGTTTTGACTTATAGCACTGTGTATTTGTGCCTTTTTCTGTTGTATTTGGATGTTCTTATATTGATAAAGGCTGTGCATTGCATAGATGGACTTTCAGCCTGTTTTGCTTCTGGTAAAGCTTACATTGATGCCTCTGAGGCTGAAACTACTATTAGTACTGAGAGAATAGTAGACTACAATGTTTATGGGTACACACTTTCCATAATCGTTCAAGCACATGCTTGGTGATTAAATTCATATTGAAGAATTTGAGAAATCAAGTGAAAGCTATTAGTCGGGGTGTCACTTTAGAAAAGGGTATTAATACATTCATGTGCCTCTTTTGACCTTCCAGTGCAGAAGAGAGAATGTTAGTGAAAGAAAATACAACTTTTATGTAAAAATTGCACCTTCAGTCTTTAAGGCTTTAATGTTTTATGGTTTGTGGAGTAAGTAATCATATGGGATTTTAAAAATGATCCGTAATTTGCTGTAAATGAAAATAGATGTTCAGTCATTGTATTAGTGGTTGTTTATGGATACTGTTAGAGTTAATATTATATGATGGTCTTGTCTTAGTATTTTGTGCAAAGTCTTGTCTTCTGTCTTGTGTTTGATACTGTACTGAGAGGAGTCCTTAAATACTCTAAGTATAACCGTTAAGATTTAAAAGCTGCTTTTATAAACACATTCCAACCTGTAAATAAGCTATCTTACTGTAGATTTTTAGCATTTTATTTATGCCCTCTGTCATTTGACTATAGTGATGCCTTTGCTTTCATGGTAAATATTGCACCTATATGAAATCTTGTTTGATTGGATGAACTCAAAAGTTCTGAAAATGGAAAATCATAACCTAACCCCTTATCGAAGACTGCACATTAATCTAAAACAAAATGGAGACGTTTAAGTCTATAAATTATTGTACTTTATTTTTTCGGATTATTGAAATTGTGTTTTCTATTTGTTTTGTTTTTTTACATGAAGGTTAAAACGTGTGTTTATGAAAGAGTTCTGTTACAAAATTTCTAGTATAATCAACAAAATATACTTGGGATATCAGGAATTCAAAGCCTGTTTAAAGTAAACTCAATTTACACATTAATCGTTACAATGCAGATGACCTTAAATGTATCTACATGTCATGTGTTAACTGTTACAGAAGTCATAGAGGACTGTTTCTTTAAATTAATTGAATCACAGTGGAAGTAAAACAACTGCCTTGTGATTTCTTTCTCTTTTTTTCAGATCTAGAGATGCCAAAAGTAAAGGAATTTATGTGAGTTTGTGTAATGGCTATTAATCACAAGTTGTTAGAGCACTCCTTTTTTTCTACTGTTTAAAAAAGAAAGAATTAAATAAATAAAATCATGAAGAATGCTAGACCTCTTTTTATTAGTGTGTTTGTTTTTGTCCAGTTTGAAAAGGGAAGACTTAACTAAACTAGCAACATGTTCAAGGACCTAAAGACTTGCATGGACCTTCTGAGTTTGCTCTTTGTAGATCATTGATCTCAGACTGTGAACCTTGTCTGTGTACTCACAAACACTGGGCTTTTGATGTTAGAATACAAACGTTGCTCCGGCATTGTTGTTCTTTTAAAGGAATAGTTCACCCAAAATGACGTGTGTATGTACAGTGTATATATATGTACAGTGAGTGTATATATATATATTAGTATAGAAAAAAGCTGTGAGATTTAGATTGTGTATATACATACCGATATATGATGTGTGTATATACACACACATATGCATGTATGTATATATATATATATATATATATATATATATATATATATATATATATATATATATATATATATATATATATATATATATATAGGTAAATATGTTTATATTTAATTCTGATGCTCATTTTCTATATATTTTTTTTACATTTAACGCAATAGATCAACACTATTATTCAATAACAGTTAAACCTAGTCTTCAGCAAATCTCAAAATGAATATGCATTTTTTTGTACTGTACAAAAAGTTGTGATGCCAAAAATTCACTCAAGCATTTAACAATTAAATTTGTTTTATTTTTAATTCACTTATTAATATAGAATATTAATATAGGCCACTTATCGGTTCTTGGCCTTAATATGAAAGTAATTAATTCGTCTTTTTTTTTTTTGGAGCTGTGGTCACTGTGAACTCTGATGTAGAAATGAGCTGTGTGAATATTTTTCACAAATTCTCTTTTTCCGTGCCATGGAAAAACGACAGCATACAGGTTTGGAACAACAGGAAGGTGAGTAAATAAAGACATCATTTTCATTGTGAAAAGAACTATTCCCTTAATTAGTTCTATGGCGTCTCGTTCTACAGTTTAAGTTCTTTAGGCATGGGTTCTCCTCTGAGTCCAGCCAGCAGGTTATTGGCAGCAAGAGCAGACATGGAGTTTCGTGTCGTATAGGAAGCACTGGCGACGTGGGGAAGAATGACTGCAGATACAAACATAAACAGGATACTTTCAGAGAAGACCTGCATCAAATACTTCAATAAAATACATGCATGCATGCATGCTTACCACAGTTTTTGAGTGTGAAAAGAGGATGGTGTGTGGGCAGCGGTTCAGGTGTGGTCACATCCAGGCCGGCTCCAGCAATCAGACCGGTGGACAGGGCTTCATACAGATCCTCCTGATTGACCACTCCCCCTCTTTACAATAACAACAGTCGTGCAGTCAAGGGCCTTGTTGACAATATGTTGCTGAGAGCCATGGATGTTACTTTGAAGTGAATGCTTAATTTCTATAAACATGAATTTTGATGCTTTTTTTTTTTTTTTTAGGTTAGTATTCCAAAAGTGACATTGATGTATGTCTTCATACAGGGTGCATTAAAGATGCACATACTGTATGTCCTGCACATTTGCTCAATTTAAAGTCGGCATGAAACGGAAGTTGTGAGAGTTTTGTTCTCTATTGTATAGTAGGCCATGCAAATGCTCACTTTTTAGTGGTATTCTGAAAATATAACAAATCTAATTCAATACTAATAATAGTATATAAATAATATTAAAATAACACTGGAAAGGATTTAGTGATGGGAAGTTCAGGTCATTTTACTGACTCTTGTTCGATCTTTATTCGAGTCATTTCTTTGTGGCTTTAAATGTTATACTTTTGAACACATCCACCTACGCAATCTTGATCATATTCTGAATAACGAAATCATTATAATGCATTAAAAAAATTTTTTTACAGGGAACATAAGTAATTACTTTACCTTCCGAGTCTTAATGAACGGATCGTTCGTGAATGACCCATCACTAGAAAGGGTGTATTAGGATTACCTGCTTGTGTTGATGAAGATGGCGTTTTTCTTCATCTTGGAGAAGAGATTCCAATTGCAAATCCCATGAGTCTCTGGAGTCAGAGCACAGCATATGGCCAGGAAATCAGACTCCTTGGCCAGCTCATCTAAAGAGACTGATCACACACACACACAAACAGTTTATTGTTTGCTACCTAGTAACCCAAACTCTCATGAATGTTCTGTGAAGGTTCTGAGATCTTCCCACCATATTCTGCCTCTATCATATTTGCAAGCTCAGGTCTCGGCTCCACATCTGTGTAGATGAACTTCTTCACCTTAAACGGCTTCAGACGCTCGGCGATAGCCACACCTACGCACATATACACACCACACAACCTCAATTTAACCAACACCCTCAACTAATACATTAAAATTGTATATAGTCATAACATAAGGCCACCCTATTCCTTACCAATTCTCCCAAGTCCCAATATGCCAACTGTGCTGTTTGCTAGTTCATGACCGCACAGCCATAAAGTTCTCCAAGTTCCCCAGCCGCCCCTAAACACAAGTATAAATCAGTATGGATCAGTGCATGATTGACAAGCAAATGTGTGAGTGCTGTTAGTTTTAGTACGTTTTAGCCTCATGTGTGGCCTCAATGAGTCTTCTGGATGTAGCGAGTAACAGGGCAACAGTCAGTTCAGCCACAGCGTCAGTCAGTACCTCAGGAGTATATCCCACAAGGATTCCCCTGGAAACACACAAGCCCACGTAAACAATGCACACACTTCAAGAAATTCATCTCTAAATTTTACCTGCACAACTGACCTTTTCTTGAGTTCATCCAGAGAAAGATGATCAAAGCCCACTGACATGGTGCTGAGGACTTTTAGATTTGGGCCTGCATTATTGAGACACACACACACACGTCACTGAATTTGTCTGCTTTTGTTTCAACCTAATGATCATGCATTGCAAGCTAACCTGCAGCGTCCAATAGCTGTGCGTCAATCTTCTCTGTGAGTACACACAGTATTCCGTCGCAACCTTTGACCTTTTTCAGCAGCTCCACTCGGGGCACAGGGTCATCAGAGTCCCACATCTCAAACTGCACCCTATATTGTGTGGGTAGAATTTAGAGAAGGTTATGATCAGTGAGAAAGTAAGAAGAGAGCAGTTCAATGATTTGCATATTTGGCTCGATTAAATCTCCATAAATTGATAAAAACAGGTAATATCATTGTGGCTGCCCACAAATTCTCAAATCAAAGTTAAACAGACTGAAATGACAGATTGTCAAAATACACTCTTTTTTTTTTTCTTGACTCTTGATTTTTGTTTTCTTGATTTATTGTTTTAAAATTTGTGTAGAAATGAGACTCAGATGACTAATGTTCAGAATGAGAATGCTCAGCCAGCCTGTTTTTTATTAACTTTTTCTCCCTCGGTTATCTTCAACTGAGCAGAGGTTCCAGTTGGCACATGTTGAACAAGCCTTTGGTTAGGAAAATATGTTCCTTATTACTGCTTTAGTAGGCTAAACTTGGCTGTGTCCATGTTACATATAGGTCTATACATATAATGAATGAAATTATTAGGGTACAATTTTTTATTCAAGATGATCACTAGGTTTCCAGTAACTCCGAAAACTTGAATGAATGGTAGGTTTTGGTGTGAAAAGCACCTTGATGTTGGGGCCAAAGATCCTCTCAAAAAGGCCACTCAAAAACACTGAAGTTGAGATTTAGTGCGGGCAAAAAGGTCCATTTTCTATAGTCATTAGTTTAGCGATATAAGAAACACAGCTGAGCTCACACACATAAGTCACTATCAAAATAGATTTCTGTTGGACCAACTTGAAACAGAGCGGCGCTTGTAAAGGGAATTCGATTTCAACCACGAAAAACAATGTTAAAGTGTGATCCGCACCTTTATTTTTTGATAGATATTGGGTAACACGTTACAATAAGGTCTAATTTGATCAAATTTGTCAATGCATTAAGTAACATAAACTAGCAATGAGCAATATTTACATACCATATATTAACCTTTGTGAATGTTAATTAAAAGTTCAAATAGGCCCACTTTTTTTGATCTAAATTGAAATGTATTAGTAAATGAATCTAACTAATAAATGCAGTATAAATATACTTAGGCTATTGTTTATTGTAATGTTCACTAAAATGAAACCTGAAGTGTTGTGTTTGGCTACCCATTTTAATCAGTCAAAATCTATTTTTGACGTTGTTTTGTTCAATCAATAGGCGATTTAAAATAATATATTATTTATCAACTTTGTGGCAGATTTTACGCAAACGATAACAGTGGAGTTAAAAACAGATTGTATATGTGTTGGCTGACTGCTTCAACCTACTGTCCGGATTTGCGGAGAACGTCCAGTCCGTCCGGCGGCACCTTGCGCGTCACATAAACTTTGGGTAACATGGACATCGTGCGATGAAATCCGGTGACGGTACACGGGACGATCTTCTGCAGTCTCCCGAGCGCTGTTCTACTGCACCACATTACGAACAATGGCAATCAATGCAGAGATCTTTGGTAAAGGATGACAGAAGCTGGAAGCGGCAGCAAGTGTGTGGACAGTTTAGGGGAGGAAACCAATGGATCATCTCTCTCTCTCTCTCTCTCTCTCTCTCTCTCTCTCTCTCTCTCTCTCTCTCTCTCTCTCTCTCTCTCTCTCTCTCTCTCTCTCTCTCTCTCTCTCTCTCTCTCTCTCCACACAACATGAGCCGGGGAGCAAATATAAGATATGTTGTTTTTTTTGTACATTCCAAAGTACCATATCACTAGCACATTGAATGTGTCTCAATTTCTGGTATCAATTGTAGGCTATTGATCAATCATTTCAGTCAATCATTAATCAGGGTCTCAAGCAAATAATAGGCAAATGTAGGCCCATGAAAAGCAATGCATGTTGAAAAACACTCAAACCAAATATATCATATTATGAAAAAGAAATAGAAACAATTTATTGCAATTTTGAAAAGTGATTTATCTAAAGACATCAACTTATAAGCACATCAAAAAAAAATACAAAAGAGAAAGAAAACAAACGAATTTAGGACTGTGGTCTTAAGTTGTGTGTTTCTGTTAAAACCATCCGTGCAAGATCTGATTTTAAATATCATTTGCTGGGGTAGCAGTTAAAGGCTGCTCCACTTCTATGGAAATGTGAGTTCAAATGTGTTTTGTGTGTGTGTGTGTGTGTGTGTGTGTGTGTGTGTGTGTGTGAATGTTTCTGGTTCAGGTTTGATAGGTCAGCACAAACAACTTTTTGTGTCGTGACTCGCGCTGAAACACCGTATGCTGAGTATAAATGAATGCACATCAAACATGCCAACTATATAGGCCTATTGTCCTGTTTCACAGAATCCTCTGACCAACAGGATATTTAAAGAAGTTTATTGCAAAATGTAAAAGGTGCTTGAATATTTGATCAGAATACTGAGCTGTTTTAAAATGACCATTTTCTTTTTGCACTTGAAATATATATATATATATATATGGCGAATCATAAACATGACTATTTATTATATAAAAAAATAAATTATTCACTTATCTTTTTTTTCTTCTATCTGTAGTCCTTAAGTTACTGTGTATTATTGTTGTTGTTACTGTGCACTGAAAGCATATTTTGTCACCAAGACAATTTCTTTTTATGTATGGTGTTGCTTCAATAAATGATTCTGAGTAACCCATTCTAGGTGGCGGTAGATAGTTTCCCACCACGAAACCCCAGCGCGCACGCGCAGTAGAAGAAGTGTGCTGCTCCCGTTCCTAGCGCACATTGACAGGTAGCTAATACACAGCTCTCTCTCTTTCTATGCTACAGACCCTACTTTAAACCACGACTCACTGAAATCAAGCAATCACAGCCGCAAAGGCGCATTTGGCTGAGTCGTGCCTGCAGATTTGATTGATTTGTTTATAGTTAAACAGATAAGCAAATTTTGTGAACAGCTCAGTTAGCCTAAGTGCTAATGATACATAACAGTTAGATATGAGTAAGCAATATGATGAACTAATGATTTTATTACATGTTTAACGATCTACAATTAAATATGAAATGTTTTTGTGATGATGTGATTTATATTGTTTTCAGATCATTATTTAGAGCCTGTCGTCTTTATATGGAGGATATATTATACACGTTATGTCTGTAATTTCGTGTGCCAGTGCTCAAATAGATTTTTTTTTAAGAAAGTCACAATGTGTTGATTATTTCCCAAGTATATGTAAGTTATGTGAAGCATGACGATGCATAAAACCGAACTGGCACTGCAGGCAGAATTAATTGTCAAGTCATTCAGGGCTAAAATGCTCAAGGAAAACCGGGACATATCAGGGGATTTTAAAGTGGTGTCATCTAACGGCTGGAAAAGTTATGGAAATGAGTACAGTTTCAAAAGTTATGGTTTCTGTTGTGAGTATATTTTTTCTAAAATGTTTCATTAAGCCATAGAGATTTGCCTATGAATCGTTCTTTTGAGTCGGTTCTTTTGACTGAATCAGTCGAACCAGTTTACAGATTGGTTTGCCAGTCATCCTGAGGTGCTCGTGAGCAGGTCATGTTGATGTAGGGCTACTGTAGATAATGTCTGTCAAAAGGGTCTGAAAAGTAACATGTGTGACATACCCAGATCTTTGAAAAAGGAGGTTTGCACAGCTGTAAACTTCAATTGTCAGCGCTGAATAGATTCTCTTTATCTCTCCTAGAGAATCTTACAGAGGAACATCTGGACACCCCCTCTCCCCTTCCCACTATGGCTGACTCCATGGATATAGATGATTCTCTGTACAGGTACACTGTAAATACTGAAGCTGAAACACTCTGGCCCTGTTTACACCTGGTATTAAAGGGGTCATATGATGGTTCTAAAAAGAACATTATTTTGTGTATTTGGTTTAATGCAATGTGTTTATGTGGTTTTAGGTAAAAAAAAAAAAAGTCATTATTTTACACACAGTTTACATTATTGTTGCACCTCAATGCCCTGCTTTTCTGAAACGCCTCGATTTTTACAAAGCTCATTGTTCTGAAAAGCGGTGTGTGCTTTGATTGGCCCAAAAACCTTAAGCGTGTGATGGAAATGTCACGCCCCTTACCATGTGGAACAAATTCTTAAAATATGAAAACATACTTAGAGGCTGTGTCTGTGAGTCAGAAGCGCCAGAATGAACTTGGAAAGATGGAATTACCCCACTTTTTAGAATCAGCCTTTGTGCACAGCCGGCCTTGTACTCTCGCAGGTTCTGGAAACAGTCCTCCGAAAAATGTGCAGCACACATGCGAAAATTTTAGTTGTACTGTTCTGGAACAGTGTTGTAAATAAATCTTAAGCACTGTTTTCTAATTGTGTCCTCTTTTGGAAGGTCAAACGAAGTAGTTTGGCTTTCGCAATGAAAAACACAGCATCTCCACGACATGGTGGCGCCGGCGGCAATAACACAGCGAGAATAAAAGTTACGCCTTCTTTCTTTGCGTGTACATTTGGGCGGTGTTATGAAACTCATGTTTTATAAACTCATGGAAACTCATGGCATGTTTGAACAAAGCGTTTTAGAAAGGCATGGCTCAGCCTTAACTTTTACAAAGAATATCTCTTTAGGAGGTTTGACACTTTGAGCATTGTAACTCTGCAGATCTTATAGGCTACATGCACAAACGGCTACATAACACTAGCCTGGGTTTCCCCATACTGCCTTCCCGCAGCGCGATTTTATTCACGCTGCTAGGTAGTCTGGATACCATGGACCACATTTTCGCCTCATTTAGGGAACCAATCACAGAACGGGGAGGGAGCAGCAAGACGATGACGACGTCTATGCGACACACCGAAGCAGTTTGTTTATACCTATGGATCCAACATGGCAGCAGACGCGAAGTTACCTTTCGATGCGGCCGTTTCACACATAGGTTTCACACCGCAAGCATGAGCGGCACTTGAGCAGCGCGTCAGCGTAACTACATCGTCACTGCAGCTGCGCGAGAGTATTCACACTGGAAGCGTTTGTACAGTGTCACAGCAGCGGCTCCAAAGCTATAAGCGAGCAATTCTTTACAAAGACAACTATACATTTGTTTTTAGAAGTTGGTCATTTATAACATTGATAGTCTTGTAGTTTGTAATGGGGAGGTGTACAACATTCGCATATAAATGTTAAACAACAAAACAACCCAAAAAATGGCTCCAATCTATTAGTTTCAGTCATACTTTCGATATGTTTACAAGACTGCAAACTCCGCGGATAAAAAACAAAACACACAAATAAACCGCACACTCAGGTTTGATTTGGGTTGTGCTAGCCTATGTAGCTGTCTGTGTGTTACATAAACTAAAAGAACGTTTATATATAATATTTGCTGGCTAGTTTACTTTAGTTTTTTTTTAATATATATATGTAATACACAACTTTCACCCAAACTGAATAATTAAAAACAAGTTTTTACCGGGTAGCCTAAATCTTCTATAAATATTTTTGAGTCTTTATTTTCTTTTATTTGCCTACTCAAGTTTTTGTTAAAACTCACTAGACATGCTTATTCTGTGCATTTTGGGCACTTTTTGTGTGAAATCATATTTACTTTTGTCCATCAAAAGTGTGCTTTCACTTTAATTTAGCGTGAGCAGAGCAGCAAAACCAGATTCGACGGCGAAACCCCCGCTTCACTGCTGCTCACGCGCTCCTCCTGCTCCCGGTGTGAATGCACTCATGGATTAACATGCACGGCGAAAAAAATACGTGCCGCTCACGCATGCGGTGTGAAACGGCCGTTAGATACACGCCATCGTTTACACATAAATCTCTGACCGACCCATCGCCTTCTTCCTCATCTAATTTCTGTCGCTCTACATACGTCATCTGGTATAATTGAGATGATTGGCTATGAGCTACGTCAAAGTCCTTTTAGGCAAGTCATGCCACTCGGCCGCCATCTTGGCAACGCCTCCGGGCAGCTATTTCGGACTAACAAGACCAGGCTCCTATCTAAATGAATGGGCAGAGACCCAGAACTGCACTTTCACTGGTCACCGGGACATAAAAACTGCATGTATACAAACTTAATAAAATATGATAAAAATCGCTGAAAAAGTGTGATGACTTTGCTCCAAAATAAGGTTTAAAACGCCTTTTTCCCCACAGGTTATACTTTTACTGCGCATGCGCAAGGGTTCTCTCGCTCTCTGTCGTGCGCGCGCTACTGCTCGCTCGCTCTAGATTCCGGGAGATTTGAACTAATTTGCGGTCATCAGGGAGCCGCTATCAATCTGCGGGAGACTCCCGGAACTTCCGGGAGACTTGGGATGTCTGATATTTACACAACTAACACATCAAATCTGCCGCCTTTTCAAACAGTAACATATTTTCCGCTGTCGCAAACCTCAACTGTGCGCATGCGTCGGTGGAACCAGACGATAGGCTTAAATGTTTTCCGGCTTGACTGTTAAAAGCAGACGATTGGCTTTCCAGCGGGAGGGGCGGGGCATGTGCATACAACCGCCATCTTTGGCGTTACGGGTTTTCCCTATATAGTTGTATTAAGGATTGGGGAAGTGGCATGTCTCTATATAAATAGTCTCTGGCTACGTACAGGTGCATTTGATAGACATTCTTAGCACCCAATAAACGGCACCGGGGATTCGTAAACCACGCCTCAAATACGAGAAAATGAACATGTGGTTCCCAGACCCAAGTCTCATTGAGACTTGGCTCTGGGAACCACGACGCAACGTTGCCCAACGTTAATGTAAGGCAACGTTAGCCTTACGTTAGCCAGGCTAACATAACACACTAAAGAAAAAGGAAAACAAGAAATCGCATCATATGACCCCTTTAAGATGCGTTTTGGTCGATCGGATCTCAAGTGGATGACCTTAAATACAGGTGTAATTGGGGTCTAAAACATTTTGAGCTTGTCCATTTTCGACCACTTCCAGAGGTAGTCGAAAATGCATTCGAATGTGTTTTAACGACCACAAAAGACCACCTACTCTCCGCTTACTGACCTAATACGTAAACATAATGGGAAACGGTCTAGCCAGACGGGATTTAAAGTTTGTCGACTGAAGAAACAAGTTTGGTTTGAAGACAAAAAAAAAAACTACCAAGTTCTCTCAGCATTCCTAATTTGAAGTGATTTCTAACACGCACTCACCGTGTTTTGCATGGTCTTGCAGCTATCAGAGCAGAAACGAAAGCCAATGCTCTCCGTATGTTTTTCCGTTGTCTCCAGGCGCTTTCATATGTAAATTGTGCGAGGTTATTTCATCCATTAGATCGAAACCCTCCCCTTGAAGAAAGCATGACAGAAGTGGTTGAAAGTGAACAAAAGAGAACGATTAAAACACCAGGTGTAAACGGGAATGTGTCTCCCTCGTCTACTTGAGATCCTATCGGAAAAACACATCTTAATACCAGGTGTAAACAGGGCCACTGAGACAGAACTGAGACGGGCTTTGCTTTCTGTCATGTATAGAGTCTGATTAGTTACAGTGCCCCTATTATTGATTTTTGAAAATTACCTTTCATGCAGTGTGTAATGTAGCTGCACGTGAATGTAAACAGTCTGCAAAGTTGTGAAGCTGAAAGTGCATCTTAAATAAAGTTAGTTTATCTAAAAAAAAAAGAGTCGACTCTGAACCGCTCAAACGAGTCGTTTAGAGTTTGAATCTATTTTCGCGAAGTTCACACGTCACGACTTACTACATTTGCATAATGCCTGCCTACGTTCTGCGTGGAAGAGGACATCTTGCTTGTTCATGTGGATATCATGTCGTCAAGACTCTGTGCTCTCCGCTGTGAAAGTAAATTGGGTTTATTTTCACTTCCAAAGTATGAGACTGTGAAGAATCAGTGGTTAAAGTTCGTCTTTACCTCGATACCACAGCAGTAGAATCGCAAACTTTTGCTGTGTTCCTTTCATTTTACTGACAACTGCTTCTCAAATCTCGGAGTTCAATGCGGGTTTCGCAAAACACTTGCTGTAGATGGGTCTGTAGCCTACCCAGTTTATTTGGACTAACTTGCTCCTCAGAATCACATCCTGTAAGTATGACTAATTATTGATGTATATCTACCGGTGTTTAAAATATTTAGTATTTTACTACTAAAGTCGTTCTTACTACTTTGAGTAAAGATAAAGGATGGAGCAAGATGTGTTTTACCAACGTTTATGTTACATCAGTCATTCACGTTAGAGTTGGCTATTGTATGCTCTAGCCTGTTATTGATACAGTTTCCACATGTTCACCGCAATAAATTAGAAAAATACACATCGGTTTGTTGTTGGACATACACTTGGTAATGCTGATGGTGAGGAATTACATTTGCAACATCTCACAATATACCCCAAACTGAGTAGTGTATCACTGGGAAACGTCCTGCTCAAGTCGTCCTTCCGATGGAGGTTCGGGTTGAATAACTAGTTAAAGTTTAGTTATGGCAATGGGTGTTTTTGTTTTTCGATGTGCGCTGAACGCGGTAGACCAGTCACAACAGACTGAGCTGTCTGGCCAATCAGAGCAGAGTAGCTCGCGGAAAGGAGGGATTTAGAGAGATTGATTCATCCATGGAGTCTTTTGAGAATCATTGAAAAATGTGGTGATGTGCAATGTTTCTTATGAGAAAACAGTTTTTTGACCTTTGCATGTAAACCTGTCGTAGGAGACCTCCAAAACAAAATTAGGAGACTTTAAAATAGCATAATAGGGGCACTTTAAAGGGATAGTTCACTTTGAAATTAATTTTTGATATGTTTTAGCTTACCTCAAGGGCATCCAAGATGTAGATGTCTTTGTGCCACAGTATTTTCAATTTTGATATTTTTAGGTCAAACCGTTCTTGTCTGTCAGTCATATAATGCAGGTCTATGGTCACCACCTCAAAGAGCATGCACAGAGAAGTCCAAATTAAACATGATTTAATGACTCGTAAATGTAAGTACACATTGATGGCCTAAGACACGAAACGAGCGGTTTGTGTGAGAAAACGAAAAGTATTATATCGTTTTAACCTCTTGTAAACACAGCCACGTCCAAGTGTTCTGATGGCGTGGGCACTTCGGTCTTTTCCGGCAAGCGCCGGAAGTGATCTCTCGCTCGTGTACGTCACTCATAAATTTTTTTTTTTTTTTTTATTTTTTTTTTTTTACAACGGTTTAAACATCCCGGATAAACGCAAATTAGTACCCTTTTAATTAGCCGTCTTACCTACAATCTCTGTTCTGTGTAAACAATGAGTGACGTACACGCGCGAGAGATCATTTCCGGTGCTTTCCGGAAAAGACCGAAGCGCCCGCGCCCTCAGATCACTTGGAAGTGGCTGTGTTTACAAGAGGTAAAAACTATATAAATACTGTTCGTTTTCTCACACAAACCGCTCGTTTCGTGTCTTAGGCCATCAATGTGTACTTACATTTACGAGTCATTAAATCATGTTTAATTTGGACTTCTCTGTGCATGCTCTTTGAGGAAGTGACCGTAGACCTGCATTATATGACTGACAGACAAGAACGGTTTGACCTAAAAATATCAAAGTTGAAAATACTGTGGAAACAAAGACACCTACATCTTGGATGCCCTTGAGGTAAGCTAAAACATATAAAAAATTAATTTCAAAGTGAACTATCCCTTTAAGAATCTGATTCAATCCTACTTTTCTGCTCCTAATTGTGTGTGTGTGTGTGTGTGTGTGTGTGTGTGTATGTGCGCGCAGTCGGCAGCGGTATGTGCTGGGGGACAGTGCTATGCAGCAGATGGCCCAGTCCTCTGTGCTTGTCAGTGGAATGGGAGCTCTTGGAGTGGAAATAGGTGAGTGGTGCCAATGTCCATCCACACACCACTTCAGTTCTTTTTTCATATTTGTATTTCATTGTTTTACTATTTACATGCTTTTAAAGTCACCATAAAATCAAAATTGACAATACTTGTATATATATATATATATATTTTTTTTAACATATTGCAGTATTTATTATAAATGATTTATCCAACCATGCAACCATGCTATGTATATTTATATATATATATATATTTTTTTTAAATGCATGTGCTCTGGTAATCTTTAATCAAAATAACTTCCACTATCAATGAGTTCTCTTCTATCATGTTTACTGGCGCGAGGACAACCTGTCACTCACAAACCACAACAGTCCAATAAATTCCCCTTGGACAAAATCAAGTCCCACCCTACATTTTTTTTTTCTTGATCGAGAAGCTTTCACTCGGATATACATCACAAAATGGAAGAAAAGACTATCACAACTTCTGTTTCTTGCCGACTTTAAAATCTCTAGAAATTGTAAATGGCTCTATACTTAGTACAAGGGTGTTAAAAGGATCTAGTTTCTAGTATATCATGATCTGAGATATCAATGATTCATGTATATGTATTTTCTTTAGTTTTTCCTCCAATAAGCTCATCGCTTCCTTATCCTATGAGTTATAATTGTCATACCATGTACCTCATCTACAGTTTAACCATTTAATTTGTGTTTAGTGCTGTAATTCACGCCACTTAATTTCTAATCAAAAATCTCTCATCTTGTGCAGCAAAAAACATTGTTCTGGCAGGAGTGAAGGTAAGATAAATGTCTAGATTTCATTTTCTTCTTAGTTTTCTATATACAGAAAAATATATACACAGAACATTTCTATATACAGTTTTCATGGCATTCAAAAAAAATCATGGCTAAATTATATATTTTTTACACTGCTGTTCAAAAGTTGTATTTATCGTTTTGAAAGAAGTCTCTTATGCTTACCAAGGCTGCATTTTTATATATATATATATATATATATATATATATATATATATATATATATAAATACAGTAAAAACATTAATTTATTATTACAATGTAAAATAACTGTTTGCTATTGTAATGTATTTAAAATGTTATTTATTCCTTATTTTTAGCAGTCATTACTCTAGTATTCAGTGTCAAATGATCCTTCAGAAATCATTCTAATATGCTGATTTGGTTGAAAATGGTGAAAATGGTTGCTTAATATCTGCTTAATATTTCTGTGAAAACATTGATATCATTTTTTCAGGATTTTTTGATAAATCGTGAGTTCAAAAGAACATTTATTATTGAAATAAAAATATTTTGTATCGTTAGTAATGTCATTACTGTCATTTTGGAACAATTTAATGCATCTTTGCTGAATTAGAATAATTTCTTTCCAAAAAACTTACCCCAAAGTTGTATAGTGAATTTGTTAGTTTGTATAGTGATTTATATTAATTTTCAACACCTATTATCTATAGTATATTGTGTATCCTCTTTTTACTGTTATAGGCTACTTGGACTATTTTCTGAGCAGTTACTTTTCAGTAGTTTTATGAGATTTGCACATGTGTGTTTGTAGGCAGTCACCCTTCATGACAGTAAGCGATGTGAAGTTTGGGATCTGGGCACCAACTTCTTCATCAGAGAGGAGGATGTGCAAAGCCAGAAGAAAAGGTACACTAAAGTTGCTTTTGTTACAAGCAGACTGAATTCAATCCCTTTTTTGGATTGAATTTCCAGAAGAAAATAACTAAATTGTTATATATATATATATATATATATATATTTCCCGTGATGTAAAATTTTGGTCATATCCACCCTTAATAAAGTTAAAACTCTACATAAGTGTCTTTGTGGCTTAACCAACTCTAGGTTGTTAGTTGTCTTTTTTTGAATAAAGCTGTGCAGTGACCACAATGATTTTCTCTCTCTCTAAGGGTGGAGGCTGTCCATTCACGAGTGGCTGAGTTAAACCCATATGTTCAGGTCAGTGTGTCCACTGATGTCCTGGATGAAAGCACTGACCTCAGCTTCCTGAAGAGATACCAGGTCAGTCTCCATGAAAACTCCAAGTTCAAAGTGCAACACTCATTTTACATTATTTACCATTATTCCAATTAGATTTTTCTTTATGTTCATATCATACTTAATGTGTCTATTCTTGTATTTATTTCTTTAGTGTGTAGTACTAACAGAAACAAAGCTGAGCTTACAGAAACGAATCAACCATTTCTGCCACTCTCTGCAGCCTCCGATTAAGGTACAGATATTCCAAGACATATTTGCACATAGCTAGAACTCTCCGTTTGGATGCTTTAAAAATGTGTTTTTGGTGCAGTTCATTGGCTGTGATATTTTTGGGATCTGCTCGCGGGTGTTCTGTGATTTTGGGGAGACGTTTGAGGTGTCTGACCCTACTGGAGAAGAACCAAAAGAAGTCTTCATCCAAAACATCAGCCAGGTAATGAAAGCACCTCACTGTCTCACCTTCACATTACTTTTGGCATGTGTTCACACTTGGCGTGTTGGGTTCGATTAAAACGATACCATCATATGTAGTCTACGCACATACAACAAGTGCATTTGTTTTAATCTAACCAAACCTGCCAAGTGTGAACAGATGCTTAGCCTGAATGCTGAACTTAATCAGAAATGCTCAATTCTGTGATATGGGTCGCTTTTTAACTTCCTGCTTGGCATCCAATCACAGGGGAGCCCTGGTGTTGTGACGTGTATGGACAGCCGGACACACGGCCTCCAGACAGGGCAGAGTGTGTGTTTTAAAGAGATCAATGGCATGAGTGAACTCAATAGTTCCACACACCAAGTTACGGGTATGAACACAAACTCTACCTTCATCATGCGCAATGATGTACTCTGCTGACGTACTTAACACTCTTGTCTATGTGTGTGTATTTAGTTCTGTCTCCCTACAGTTTTGCAATTGGAGATACATCATCATTCCAGCCATATGCTCATGGGGGAATCTTCCGCCTGGTCAAGATTCCCAAAACCTTCAGCTTTGTATGTTAACACCAACTTCAGTTGTTCTGTTTAATAGTGGTAAAGTATGAGTAACTCTTTTCTTTATTTATGGTCTGTTTAGGAGACAATGGAGCAGCAGTTATCTGATCCTCGGCTCCTCACTCCAGACTTCAGTAAACCCGAGGTCAAACACAGGCTCTCTCATTGTTGGAGTCCAGTTATGTTTATTGACATGAGAATCATTCACTTTTTGGCTAAAAAAATTTACCCTATCCATTCAGGTCCCTCTGCAGCTCCATACTATCATGTTAGCTTTGGATGCTTTCCTGGAACAGCATGCTAGACTCCCCAGCATCGGGTAAATAACTGTTTTCCTCTTTCAAGCTGTGCCTAAGAAACCTAGCGAGCTTTACCAATAGCAGATCACTATGTTTTAAATAGATGTTGTCCTACATTAGACGTGGCATGATAAAGCAACCAGGTCAAGAGGGTTTGGTTTATTATAGTTGTGATGCACCAAAATTTCAGCAATCGAAATTGTTTTGGAAGGGTCAATATCATTGACCGAAACAGTCAGCGTTTTTCCGATGATGCGTTTTGACTGTTTCAGCGTCTATTTCATACACACAACGTGCATTTTATACAGGACCCAATGAAATCTATTTTATTTTTTTCAAAACAAATGTTTTTTTTTCCCCATATTCCATTTCAATAGGCTTTATGCACAGCTTCAATACTTCCTGAACTTTAGCCAGCTCCTTTGTTTCCTGTCTGCCATTATTGGACAAACTGATTAATCCAGGTGTGCCTGATTATTGTTACTGAGGCCAGGCACACCTGGATTAATCAGTTTGTCCCAATAATGGCAGACAGGAAACAAAGGAGCTGGCTAAAGTTCAGGAAGTAGTGCAGCTGTGCATAAAGCCAATTGTCAAAAGCATGTATAATCAATTGAATTTTTTTTTTTAAAAGTTAAAAAAAAAAAATTTATAATACAAATTTGATAGGGACCTATGAAATGTTTTAATAATAGAGCCCTATGAAATGTTAATTTTTTTTCTGGAATTCTGTGTTGTCTGTTTTAACTTTTCTGGATTTATGAGTTAAGACGGCACCCTGAACAGCATACAGAGTTCAACTACCCAAATTCAATTACCAAAACCTTTTTACAGTTTTAGTTTTCTGGCTATATGGAATCTTAAATTTTGGTTTCGGTGCATCACTAGTTTCTATTTATGCAACATTGTGCTGAATAGACCCGCCCAAAACTGGTAAAAATTGTGGTTCCACATACAATAACTGTACATTAAACGTCAAATATTTTCTAATTGGCTGTGTCATTTCTCATTCATTGTGGACAGACAAAATGCTTGTTGCATTTTTTAATTCTCTCTTTTTATCTCTCTCTGATTATGATTGACATGGATAATTAAAATTGTGATGTGTTTTTTTCCTCTTTTGTGTGTAGTTGTTTGCAGGATGCTGAGCTGCTCCTGAAGTTCACAGAGGAGATCAGCAAAACACTTAAAAACAAAGTCATTTTTTGTTTTGTTTTTCTTTTTACAAACACTGTCACATCCTGTTTTGCACTTCTTCACACTTCCATCTTTCAATTTAAAATGTGTGTTGTCAGGTATGCATAAACCAGGATCTGGTGAGGTGTGTGTCGCGCTGTGCGAGGGGATGTCTCTCTCCTCTAGCGGCAGCGGTGGGTGGTATCGCTAGTCAGGAGGTTTTAAAGGCTCTCACTGGAAAGTTTTCCCCTCTTCAGCAATGGGTAAGTCAAAGGTCAGATGTTCTTTTGTCTTTCAAGTACACTACCATTTAAAAGTTTGGAGTCTGAAAGATTTTGAATGTTTTTAAAAGAAGTCTCTTGTACTCACCAAGACTGCATTTATTTGAACAAAAATACAGAATATTATTGCAATTAAATTTTTCTAGTTTTATAATATTTTCAAAATTAATTTCAATACATTTTAAAATGTACGAAAGTAACCGTTTAAATGTCTTTGCTGACACTTTTAAATCAGTTTAATGTATCTTTGCTAAATAAAAGTATTCATTTTTTTTTATTTAAAAACAAAAAAAAAATCTTACTTACTCCAAACTTTTAAATGGTGGTGTATGTATGGCATTAATATGAAGAGATTGTATTAATTCTTTCTTATATGTGTGTTTATACAGTTTTATCTCGATGCAGTTGAGGTGGTTCAGCCCCTCCAATCTCTTCCTGCTGAGGAATTTGCCCCAAGGTGAGTGTGAAGCAATCTTGTTTTGTTAGTTCATATGTTTCTACTGAATTTTGAGAATGGTAATATCTCATGTTGTTCCAACCCCGTAAGACTTTCGTTCATCTTCGGAACACAAATTAAGATATTTTTGATTAAATCTGAGAGCTGGATCACTCCTCCATAGGCGTCTTAAGGGATCGAAACTGGCCGGCCCAAAAGTTATGAAAGACATCGTTAAAATAGTCCAAGTGACAACAGTGGCTCAATCTCAAGTTTATCAAGCGACGAGAATACTTTTTGTGCGCAAAAAACAAACAAAAATAACGACTTTATTCAACTAATCATTTCCTTCTCTGTGGGCCGTGATATTTCACGTAGTGATATTGCGCAAAGCTTCTAGGTTGCACGTCACACGCAGGCTCACTATTGGCCGACGCTGGTCATGTGTGTGATGCGTGACGTACAACCTAGAAGCTTTGCGTAGTTTCACTACGTGAAATATCACGTAACAGCCGAACAGAGAAGGAAATGATTAGTTGTATAAGGTCGTTTTTTTTGTTTGTTTTTTTGCACTCAAAAAGTATTCTCGTCGCTTGATAAACTTGAGATTGAGCCACTGTAGTCACTTGGACTATTTTAACGATGTCTTTCTAACTTTTGGGCCGGCCAGTTTCGATCCCTTAAGAAGCATATGGAGGAGTGATCCAGCTCTCAGATTTAATCAAAAATATCTTAATTTGTGTTCCGAAGATGAACGAAAGTCTTAAATAAGACAAAAAGCTTTAAAATAAGCCAAAACAACTAAGGATCATGATTGTTTTGTTTATTTATTCAATTCCTCAACAACTTTTTTGTTTTGTTTTTTGGCGTTGAAGAACCATGGTTCTCACTTGAAAAATGAGGTAGCCTAATTTTGTTACTTCTAGACCTGGAAAAGTCATTTTTAATTAATAAAATCATTTTTGTTCTTATGCCAAGCTATAAAATATTTTTTTTCAGGTAGAAATTAGTGAGTAAAAAAAAACAAATCTTTTTCCAGGAAATCTTAAACAACTGGAAAAATCATGGAGCCTTCAAATATTGTTGTGGACAGTGAGGAGCTTGGAGTCAAAAAGGTTAAGGATCACTGCTTTAAATGTTGTTTTTGACGTGTGCTTGTAGGGGTGATCGGTACGATGCATTGAGGGCGTGTATCGGCGAGTCGCTGTGTTTGAAACTGCACAGTTTTCGAGTCTTTATGGTGGGCTGTGGTGCTATCGGCTGTGAGATGCTGAAGAATTTGGCACTTTTGGGTGTGGGATTGAACAGATGCTCAGGAGAGGTGGGGATATACATCTGACAGGACTCTTCATTTTTTCCCCCTTCTCATTTACTTTAATAACGGAAAGTTGGTACAATTCTTAGAATGCATTTTTTTTTAATTCCTAGATTTGCGTTACTGATCCAGATTTGATTGAGAAATCCAACCTCAACCGGCAGTTTCTCTTCAGACCACACCATATACAGGTATCTTATTAATTTGATAGTTTTTTCGCTCTTTCATTCATGAATTACTTCTCATTTATTTTTTGCCCATTGTCCTCCCTCTCTGTAGAAGCCAAAGAGCACTACAGCAGCAGCAGCTACATTAGAAATAAACCCAGAGCTCCAAATAGATGCTCATCTGAATAAAGTATATCCTGCTACAGAGGACATTTATAGTGATGCTTTCTTCTCCTGCCTCAACCTGGTGGTCACCGCACTGGACAACGTGGAGGCTCGGAGATATGTGGATAGGTAATCCATGATTTTTTTCAATGTATAAAGTGTGCTTCTTTGCACATTCTTTAATGGTTCTTTTGTGAACTCGCAGTCGGAGCGTATCCAATCAGAAAGCTCTGTTAGACTCGGGTACCATGGGTACGAAAGGGCACACTGAGATCATCATCCCAAACCTCACTGAGTCCTACAACAGCCATGTGAGTGTGTATAAGTGTTTATATAGGCTGTGTGCCAGTTTGTGTATGCATTGTCCCATGTTTTTTTCTCAACTGTGGTTGTGTTTCTTAGAGAGACCCACCGGAGGAGGAGATTCCGTTTTGCACTCTAAAGTCTTTTCCTGCTGTCATTGAACACACCATACAGTGGGCCAGAGACAAGGTCAGTAACACACACTCTTACACACATTACCTGGCGTAAATATTAGACTGATTTTTCAATGAGTGGATATAGCATATATAAAGTGTGTAATATTGCTGTTTGTGAATGTAAAATGTCTGCACAATTTTAAAGATTAAAGTGCATGACATAGTTATATAGTTATTGTCTCCTAAAAGTTGTAATTCAAATATGGTAATAGCAAATGCAAGCAAGCAAGCAAATTAGATTTATATAGCACTTTTCCAAACAAATCAATGCAGTTCAAAGTGCTTTACAGGCACACACAAAAAAATAAATAAAAATGTATAAGGGTTTATTAAAATAAAGAAAAACATTAAATTAAAAACAATGTAAAATATTACAGGAAGGCCAGACTAAAGAGATATGTTTTTAATTTAGACTTAAAACTATTAATATTTTCGGCACGTCTTGCTTCCTCTGGAAGGTTATTCCAGAGGCGAGGAGCGTAGCGGCTAAAAGCAGCATCACCAAATCTTTTAGTTCTACCGTGTGGTACTATTTAAAGAAAAGAATCTGATGATCTGAGAGTCCTTACAGGTTCATATACTGTAAGCATTTTTAAAAGATAGTCTGGAGCAAGTCCATGCAGTGCCTTATAAACTAATAAAAGGTTTTTAAAATCAACACGAAAACTAACAGGTAACCAATGTAAGGATTTCAGTATAGGTGTAATGTGTTCTCTCTTCTTGGTCTTTGTCAATACTCGAGCAGCAGAGTTTTGTATTAATTGTAGTTGATTAATTGTAATAGGGGTTTTGTTTCCGGTGCGCTGTAAGTGATAGACCAATCACAACAGACTGGGCTTTTTGACCAATCAGAGCAGAGTAGGTCTCGGAAAGGAGGGGTTTAGAGAGAATGAATCTTCGAACAATCTGTTTTCAGACTCTGAAAAATGAGGTGATGTGCAATATATATTATGAGAAGAATCACTGTACCTATTACTAATGTAATTATTATCATATTATTTAGTTATTTTAGTGTTTATATATATATATGAGTATAATAAATTACATAGTTTGGTGACCAAAAGTATTTGCTAGGGTAGCAGAAATATAGTTTTATTGTAATATTTTTGATGATTTGCGAGTAACTTTTTTAAAGTGTTTTCACTAAACCAGTTAATATTTAAGAATTTTAATTCCAGAAACCATCCATTTCTTTGTAGGTTTGCAGCTGTTTTAACATTGACTACTAGCTGACGGCTTATCCAGCGTTTTTTCTTTTTCCAAAAAGTTAAAAATGTCATTACCATCACCAATACCAAAATCCACATGAAGGATGATCAGGGACATGATTTTTATTCTAGGACATGCGATAAATGTTTTAATATAGACATAGTTAAAAGAAGTTTCATTTGAAAGAATCCTTAATTAAAGAATCCCTCATTAACCCTCCTTTGTGAATCTTTTGCACTCTTGATGGCTCACTTCTTAATTTCTGTGTGATCTTATTCAACACATTAAAAACAATCGCTCTGTTTTAGCGTATTTTACTTTCATTTCCAATGGTTGGTCAATTTTCACCACAAACAGCCACTGTGTGACTTTTATGACAACTTAGACTCATTAAATGAAATCCATTTTTTGTTTGTTCAGATTGTACATTTAAGAAAGTCACCCAGTTTTGAACAACTCCGAGGAAATAGTTTCTAATAGTTGGTCAAAAACGACTAAAAAAAGCTCAGATACAATCAGTTCGACTGGATCTCCTTAGAACTCCTAACAGTGTTTGGAAATGCTGCGAGTGATCTGATTTGTGGTCTTGTTTTTGTTGTGTATAGTTTGAGAGCTCTTACTCCCACAAACCCTCCATTTACAACATGTTCTGGCAGAGTCATTCATCACCTCAGGATGTGTTACAGGTGAGGATATATATTGCATGCTTACCTAAAGACTAATTTAGCCTTGTTGTAGTTTAATTTCATTGCTTGTGTGTGCAGAGGATGATGGCTGGGGAGAGTATGGAAGGATCATTTCAGGTCATTAAGTTGTTGAGTCGGAGACCTACTCAATGGAATCACTGTATAGCTCTTGCTCGACTCAAATTCGACAAGTACTTCAAAAGAAAGGTAACTGTCCTGCAGATGTTAATAGTGTAATGACCGCTATTGTTTTTGGCATGTAAAGGTATTTATATAATAGTTATAATGCTTTTAAATGCTTTATATTATAGTAGTATATTTCTCATTAAAAAAAAGTGTGTATGTGTGATGTTTACACAACATATCTCATTTCTACTTAAATTTTTCAGGCATTACAACTACTTCACTCATTTCCACTGGACACACGGCTAAAAGACGGCAGTAAGTCTCATGATTTGCTCACTTGTGCAGAGGTGCTGTATTAAAAGCCAATAGAGTCACGAAAAGTGTTTTTCCTCTTTTTTTCAGGTCTGTTCTGGCAGTCTCCCAAACGGCCGCCTTCTCCTATAGAGTTTGATCTCAGTGACCCACTGTGAGTATCTGAGTAAATATTCTGTTTATAGACTGTTACTCACAGTGATGGAGAGAAATGAGATTTAAAAAAAATAAAAAGATGTAATGTTTGGAAGTTCATGAAAAAATGTTTTTCTCCTTCATCAGGCATTTTGGTTTTGTTGTCAGCGCAGCTCGCCTTTTTGCTGGAATTTATAAAATTCCATATTCAGAGGAGGTAAAATATTTTTACATTTCAACATCTCAATCTGGGTTTGTTTTCTTTTTTTACTTGTGTGTTATCTGAATAAAATTCTTAAATTAATTTCTTTAATGTTTTGTTGTTGATTTTTCTTATGTGCTGTTGAATAATTCATAGAAACTTTCCTATGAGGCTGTTCAAAGTGTTTTAACTAAAGTGGAGGTTCCCGAATACAAACCAGCTGAAAAGGTATGTGTTCTTTCACCAGTTATTTATGTATTTAGTATTCAACCACTAATGAAAATGTTTGTCTGTGATGTATCAATAAAACAACCTAATGTTGAGTTGTTTAAAGGTGAACTTTTGAGAGGTTTTTTTTTTCTTACCAAGAAACTTCTCCTATTGTTTAACTGTACATACATAACGGTCAGTGCATTGATAGTAAAGGCATTTAAAATTTTCCCAAAGATTTATATTTCAAAAAGTGCTGTTCTTTTGAACTTTCTATTTATGAAAGTTGGTGAAAAATGTATCACGGTTTCCACAAAAATAGCAGTGCAACTGTTTTCAACATTAATAATAATATGAAATGTTTATTGAGCTCCAAATCAGCACATAGAATGATTTCTTAAGGATCATGTAACATGAAGCTTTGCCATAACAGGTATGTGTTATGCAAATGTGTTGAATTTCAGGAGGTACTTCAAGTAAATATTTTAGGTAAAAGAGGTTTGCCTGAATAAAAAAAGTTTGGGATTCTCTGCATATAGAATTGTTATTTTTGTATTGTGCCCTAAATATTGATTTCAAATCAAATCGCTAGGTCTTTGCTAATTTCTTCCCCTTATAGTTGCAATGGCATCATAAAATAAGTATCACCTATGGTGCAAAATGCAACAGACAAAGACATCTATTTGATGCATATATTAATAGACAAACAATAAAAATAAATTGCTAGACAGAAACGGCACCAGTGGTGCAGAAATTGCTCTCTTCCCCTTTAAGAAAATAACTACTAAGCATCTGTATTTGTATCAGCATATAGAGACAGATGAGTCTGTTAAGAAGCCTGATCATTTGAAAATGACAGTGAGCAGTGAAGAGGAGAGAGAAGCGATCTCACAGCTACAGGAGGCCATCAGCTCCAGCTTTATAACACCTGGTTTGTTGATTCTCATCCACATACTCTAAACCAAGATACCCAACAAATCCATACACTTTTTTCCTCTTATTTTGTATCTTTTCCTTTCTTTTTTTGTCTTTAGAGAGGCTACGTATGACTCCGCTGTTCTTTGAAAAGGATGATGACTCAAACGGACACATGGATTTTGTAGCGTCAGCGTCGGCTCTGCGAGCTCATATGTATGCCATCGAGGCCGCTGACAGACTACAAACCAAACGAATTGCTGGCAAAATCATCCCTGCTATCGCCACATCTACAGCTGCCGTCGCAGGACTGGTGAGAGATAAAAAAAAAAATCTGTTGTAGGGAAATCGTTTTCTATGATGATTCTTGTTGTGTTTAGTCCTTTGCTTTGTGTATTTATGATTGTGTTATTATTCATTTTTTGTAGGTGTCAACTGAGTTGGTAAAAGTCGCTGGTGGTTATGGATTTGAGTTGTTTAAGAACTGTTTCTTCAACCTGGCAATTCCAGTCATGGTGCTCACAGAAACCGCTCCGGTCAAGAGAACCCAGATCAGGTAACAGCAACACTCATGCACAGATTGGCACTTGTAAAAATGAATAGATATGTGTTTCTTATCTTTGTATAATTTGATCTTTTTGCTTTCACCAGAGATGATATCTCCTTTTCTATCTGGGACCGTTGGACTATCTTCGGTCACGAGGACTTTACCTTGTCTGATTTCATCAGCGCAGTAAGGGTGAGTACCACTTTTTAGCCTGAAGGTCAATAATGTCAAGGGCACTTTAAAGGGATAGTTCACCAGAAAACAAACATTTGTGTCATTATTTACTCACCCGCAAGTTGTTCCAAACCTGTATGAGTTTCTTTCTTCTGTTGAACACAAAAGAATATATTTTAAGGAATGTTGGGGACCAGACATTTGATGGCACCCATTGACTTCCATAGTATTTTTTTTTTCAATGGAGTCCATCAACTGTTTAGTCACCGACATTCTTTAAAATATCTTCTTTTGTGTTCAACAGAAGAAAGAATCTCATACACGTTAGGAACAACTTGACAAAATTTGACAGTTTTTCTCAGAGAACCAACTAAAAATTACTTTTTGAAAGTAGATAATACCCCCAATTTAATCATGATTTTCACCAGCTATGGATTAAACCACTGCTTACACTCTGAAATGTATTATGGGAGTGAATATAAAATTTTTGAATCTCCCATAATGTGTCACAATAACATTGTCTGCTGACGAATTTAGCAATCTTTTAAGCATTTTAACCACTTTTTCATAATTCTTAATGTGATAGAAATAATACAGTATATTTTACAGATAATTTAAAAAAAAAACCTGAACTTCATTGAAACAGCAATTTAACTGCAATTAAAAACACTTTTCTAAAATTTACTCTACTGTTCATTTTGGGGTCGGTAAGATTTTTTTATTTATTTAAGAAATTGATACTTTTATTCAGCAAGGATGCATTCAATTGATCAAAAGTGACAGCAAAGAGACTTTTACTTTGTTACAAAAAAAAATCTATTTAAAACTTTCTATTCATCAAAAAAGATGAACCATGAAAATATGAATCATGGTTTCCACAAAAATATTAAGCAGCACACAGTAAGAAATGTTTCTTGATCAGCATGAAGACTGGAATAATGATGCTGAAAATTCAGCTTTACCATCACAGGAATAAATAAAAAATGTTAAAATTAGAAAACTGTTTTTTAAATTGTAATATGTTACTACAGAACTCTTTTGATCAAATAAATGCAGCCTTGGTGAATCTAAAATATACATGTACATAAACATGATTTTAGTTTTTTAAACAATAGTCTCCTAAAATTACATTTAAGATATGTAATTAATTTAAGAATTAATGAATTATTGCTTAGTACATAGGAACAAACAGGTTGTATGCTTCATTTCAGGAGAAGTACGGAATTGAGCCCACTATGGTTGTTCACGGAGTGAAGATGCTGTATGTGCCTGTTATGCCAGGCCATAACAAAAGACTCAAACTGACGTAAGGCCTAACTAAAATAGCCTATTTTACATCGATTATAAAAATAATCGTACGTGTTTCAGCTAATGTGTGTAATTTTGTGCGACGACTATCAACAAATGCAATTAGAAAAATGATGCACGATCCTTTGTGGTTTTCTTATGCATTTCCATAACAATATCGCTATTTGCCTTCTCCTTGCAGAATGCATAAACTGATCAAACCTTCAGCAGGCAGGAAGTATGTTGACCTTACCGTATCATTTGCCCCTGAGGTGGATGGTGACGAAGATCTGCCCGGTCCCCCAGTGCGCTATTACTTCAGTCGAGAAACTGAGAGTGGCGAGACGGCCTAGCGCGAACACACACACATACACACACACACTCTCTCTCTCTCTCACACACACACACACACACACACACACACACACACACACACACACACACTCACAAACTCTCCTCCCTCTTGCTCTGTGGACCACAAGTGGAGTAGCACTTGATCTGACTCAATGTACATAGTAAATTTTTGTTTTCTACTGGTTTATTATTTTATTGCACAGCATTGTCTGTGCAGATGCCTTAAGATAATTATATTGTGCTTCAAAGTGACAATAATAATGGTTATAATATGAATGCTCTAAAGAGTAAAACAAAAAAGAAAGTGTTTACACAACTTCCCCAGGGCTTATTATTCTATGTTAGTCTCTTAAACTAGGAGAGGACTCTGTAAAAAAAAATCAATAGAGGGCTTGTAAAAGAAGAACTTTCATCATGAATCAGCTGTAATTTATTTGCACATGTTTTAGGAGGATATTGGGGTTTAAGAAGTTTTCAGTCACTGTAAGCAACATAAACACCAAAGATTTCACCTCTGGTTTAAAGTGTTTATCATTGGCATTCAGCGATGCTTCACAACTGGTTTCCCCTGAATGTGGCTGTCAGGTTCTTCATGATCATAGCTTTTTGCAAAAACAGATGAGGTAAAGATAATTGCTTCTGATGTTACACCTACAATGCAAAATGCATTTTGTAGTGCCACTAGAGGGCGCTATAGTTTATAGTATCCTTGTACCCATTTGCTACAATCAAATGTTTCTACTTGAGCGACAAGGCTTAAAGGATGAGACTCTACGTAATCGACACTGATATAGACATCATCCTGTATGTGAAGGTATATTAATATCACTTTAATAGTCCAGCCTGCATGTTGACATCTAAAATAGGCTTTTCCCAATTTCCTCGCTGCATTTAAAGTCTTGTTGATGTCATTGACTCCTAAAGTGAATCCTAAAGTGTCCTTTAGGCAGTTGGCTGTTGCTTAGCACACATGTGATTGGCAGTAGTGATCAGAAATCACACTCGCATAGACACACCTGACCCAACACTCCACTTTGAGCTTACAGTGGATATGTTCGAATGCACAAAGAACAGGAAAAACATGGACAATGTTTCTAGTTTGATCCCTTTAAATTAAACCTTCAGTTGCACAGAATTCCCTGCCATGATGTCCAGCATTTCCAGTTATAAGAAAATGATATCTGATGAAGCTAAACCAGTGATTGGAAAATATGATGTCATTGTGACTACAGTATTCAACAGAAAGTTAAATAAATCAAGTCAAAAAAAGTCAAAATGCATTTCCCTTTTTTTCCCTTCTGCTTTCTTGTATATTCCCAACTCTTCTAACAACTTAACTTGTGGTAATGTGTGGGAAAAATCCAAAAAGTAGCATGGATCTTCATTTGATCTATGGCAAGATCTGATCTGAAACCACTCTGGAGGTTTGCGCTGTGCCGAGTATATGGCACTCATAGTAATAATACTGTAATATAATAAAACAGAAAATATAGTGTTTAAATTTTTAGGGTCAGGAGGAAGACATCACTTTTATTCAGCAATCATGCATTTAATTGTTCAAAAGTGAAGGTTAAAAGTAAAGACATTTATAATGTTACAAAAGATTTCTATTGCATACAAATGCTGTTCTTTTGAACTTTCTATTCTTTGAAGAATTCTGAAAAAAAAAGTTTCACTCTTTCAAGCAGCACGAATGTTTGACAAAACCAACTCAGCATATTGATTTCAGAAGGACTGAATTAATTGGCTGCTGAAAATTCAGCTTTGCTATATAGAGGAAAAAATTACACTTTAAAGTTTTAATCATTTTTCACAATATTGCATTGTATTTTTGATCAAATCAATGCAGCCTTGGTGAGCAAAACAATACTTCTTTCAAAAACATAAAAAAAAAACGTACAGACAGTAAACGTTTGGTTGTGTATATTTAAGCTAATAGTGTCTTTTTTATTGTGTTTCATATTGTGCACAAGTCATGAAACACTTCTATGGTACTTTGTGACTTGGAGCATAAAAGTGAGTGCATGCACGGTGGTTTGCGATTGACTCTGAAATGTTTGATTCACGCCTCCATTCTTTAGAATGCAAACAACTCGGCTCTGTCTCTGTTCTTAGCACGGGTGCTGCTTTAAGGAGTGGAGTTTGACCTCTGGGTCACTTGGGACAGCATGTCTGAGCGTGTGCTTTCAGGACACGTATGCCTTTTGTTGTTTCTGCAACTTCATGCAACCACTTCAAAAATAAATCTCTTACATTGGATGGGTTGAATCAATAAAAAATCCTTTACCTACCTATTCACTACAACACAACAAAAACATGTTAGGTAAATGTTTCATAACATCTAAACTGTTTTTATTTATTTTTTTATAATTCTGAGTGTAAAAAATCACACATACACTAGCTCAGACAGAGGAGGAGGCCTCAGGAATTCAATTTACCCTGGAGTGTCAAATGAACTGCCTTCCACAGTCTGTCGGGTCAAAGATCACACCAAAAGTCTGCACCCTCCCCCTTTCCCACACACACAGTCAAAGACATTTAAGAGCACAGATGGTTAATGGCTATCTTGTTGAACATGCATAGCTACAAGCTTCTCGTTCTCCTCCTGTGCCTTCTTTTCCCGAGGAAGATGATGTAACAGAATAGCTAATATAGCAGTCTAGACACTGGACAGCTGCTTGAAAGCTCATATCATGCAAACTCATTAAAATGGGGGTTATAGGATCTTTGCTGAAATCCATCCATTAATTAGTTAGACCAACTACAAACTAGCTCTATTAATTAATTTCAACAAAGGTCTTATTAGCGTAATAGGATCTTTATTTTATTTCAGCTTAATTTACAAATAGGCTATGATAAGTAACGTTAGATTTGATTTCACATAAACACTGGTTTAAGTGTTCGAGTTAAATGCACTTTAAAGTGCAGGTTGACACGATATTTATTATCAGAACTGGATTATTTTTTCGGACAGTTTCTTGTTTTCAGCGGTACATTTGATCCAGTTTAAATTGTGCAAGGTTCTCTCTCCCATTCTCCAAACTTTTCGTCACGCTCTCTCTCTCTTCTCTCCGGGAATGTTTTTCCTGTGGTCCGCTGTCTGATTGGTCCGCTGCCTGATTGGTCCGCTGTCTGATTGGTCCGTTGCCTTCCGGGGAGACGCGGATTGGAAGACGGAGCTCGACATCTGGAAGGGAGGAGAGTAGTGATGGGAAGTCCGACTCAGTTCTGCGAATCGGTTCTTTCAAGCTGTGTTTTTCAATGAACTGGTTGACAACGATCCATTGGTTCTGTTACGCCATTGCCTACCTGACATCCCAGCATGGCATATGTACAGCATTATGTGCTATAAATAAGCAATAATGGCATAGCCTATAGGGCTATGCTTCCAGTATAATCTATAAACATGCGAAGTGTAATGACCGTAGTAGTAGCCTATCCCATTTCATCCAATTGCTCATTTTGTAATGTCGTTGAAGAACGACATTATTTTCACTTATTTTGAAATGATGTTGATTGCAATGTGTTTTGCTTTGACTTTCCTTAATTTTGGAAATTTAGGCTTTTTTAAATAAAAACAAAAACATTTGGAGTTTTTTGTATCACCTTTTTATAGCTGACGCCCAATTTAATCTTATAAGCCCAACATGCTGCACTAATCGGGGTACCCTTTAAAGGAGTTTATCTCCAAACATCTGTAGAAGCCTTTTTTTGGTGGCTCTTTGAAAATAGACCCTTTTTATTTGAAGTTTGTAATTATACATTATTCTTCCTTGCATAATTTTGCATTCATGAATGTAGTTTTCAAGAAACTATTTGAATTATTAAAAAAACTAAAATTGATTGTATTATTTTACTATTCTATGGCGTAAAAAGTAATACTTTAGCTCACTTCAGAATTTCATGTTACCCTAATTAGAATATTTAGTTTTTTTTTTACTTGTAAACGTATTCTTAGTTACAACAAAACATCCCCGTTTAAATGAAGTTGTAAGTCAAGTGCCCCAGTTACATTGTTGAATTGTTTTTGCAGATATTTTTAGTTAATAAAAACATAAAGTAATTTTGAATCTACATTAAATTTACATTTAAATAACAGTAATATTAATGCCATCACTATACATAACTATAAAAAACGTTTTTAATTTTTTAATAAAATGTTCGCTCATTGTTTTTCAACTCTACGGTCCAAATGAGAAGGCCCTCGAGCTCAATGAATCATTTGTTGAACCGCACTGTTCCGTGTTTTGTGAACCGGTTTAACTGATTCATCTAAAAGGTCCGACTCAAACGATCGACTCGTTCGCGAATCGGACATCGCTAGATGAGATGAGGAGAAGAATATACTAGAGGTAAATCAGAAAAAAAGGAGGAGAACAGGAGAGGGTGGTGACATCTGAGGTGAGTGATGTGCTATGCCAAAATATTTAACCTGGACATAAGAGCAGCTGAATTTATGATTTGAGAACATTTAATTATTTTCGTTCGCCACTTCTGTTGGTAATAAGTTTGAAAGGCTGGAAATATTTGTGGACGCGCTTCGCCCTAACAGCGATAGCAGAAGGCGGATAAACGCCTCGGCAATGGGCTTCTGACTAACAGTATCGGATATTATCGTTGCTACAGTAACAAACACCCTGTGGCTTGATATATTGTAATCATTTTGAAGCGTCTTTGATGTTGTTATATCATGTTCGTTTTAGTTGCGATGGAATGGTGTAAACGGGGGTCGTGCGTGTGGTCACAGCCCTCCTGAATATCGCTTGACTTAACGGGTCACTTTGTGTTTCGCGTTTGTTCCTTCACTTTTACAACGAATGCCGCTTCAACATTAGGCTGTATATTAGGCTATTAAATAAACGCCATTTGTGCCGTTTATTTCGCCACGATTATTTTTACTCGCCTCGCCTCTCCCCCTATCAGGTCCATGGCAGGCTCCAGCCCCCCGTTCAAGGCCAGGCCAATGGAAAAGTCAAAGCAGCGGGAATCCATAGCGTATCATTCGGGGCTGTGGCAAACGCGCTTGTTTGTTTAAGTTAAAGCACCAACTTGTGTGTTTGAAAGAATCATTAGTGTGAACGCGCCCGTAGGCCCGTGTGTGCGTAGGCTACTCGCTGCTGTAGGTGCGCGCGTCGCAGTGGCGAGACTCTAGTCCCGTTTTATGACGCCCGTTCTGCGGCAGGCACAGGCAGCTCCAACAGCAGACATGTTCTCTGAAGACCATTTCACATTCCCCGGTCCTCTTATAGAAGTACAATAGCCAATTATACTGTACACCAGTCACCGGCATAACATCTTCCACAGTAAGGCCTTTGCGAGCTATCGTATAATTGTGTTGATATAGAGAAAGCCAATGTAACATTGAGAGCTGGTCTGGGAATTGTTGTTACTTCAAAGCTTGTTGCTACATTTCTGGAAAGCAATGTTTGTCAGATGAAATGGTTTTGGTGGCTTGTGGCAGTGGGTATTCTGTTTGTTTATGTTCTTGCAAATGTGTTTGTAAATGACAAGAGGTCATTTCCACTGAGTTGAGTCCCTGGGCCTTCTACAGTTATCCACAATAGATGTTGGTTGTAAGTGCTTCATGGGTTTGTCTTACCTCTCATTACTGCACTGTTTATAAGCTAACTGTAGCTTGCGGCATACATTTATAAATATTATTAACAATCCAAACATAGAAATCTGTAATATGTGGAGGATGTGGTCCAAAATTCTCAGACCACCAGTGAAAATGTTGTATGTTTTTAATCAAAAGGTTCGTCAAAAAATGAAAGATTCTGTCATTATTTACTCATCCTCATGTCGTTCCAAACCCACAACTTTCCTTCATCTTTGGAACACAAAAGAAAATATTTTTAATATTCTTTCCTATTTTTTTGTCCATTCAATATCTACGTAATTAACATTTTTAAACACTTTATAACAGTAATGAATATAGCAATTTAATACAAGTCTTCTGAAAAGATTAATCATTTTATGTAATCAAGTTTTTCATTTAGAGTTTTATTCACATAAACATTGATGAACGCAGCTCAAACATGCATGCTTAATACACAAGAAGGTTTGTTCTTGCGTGTGTCAGCAGGCAATGTTTATATGTGATTAAAAACTTAGCTTTTTGAACCTTAAAAATGTTGATTATACAGACTTTCAATTAATAGACAAAAATGATGAGAGAATATGAACAAATGTTTTATGTGTTTGGAATAATGTGAGGGTATGATGACAGAACTTTCAGTTTTGGGTGAATTAATATTTTTTTTTCCTGACAAAAATTATATTGTCAGGCCAGCATAATAACATAAAAACAAAGAGTGTAAAAGTCATTAAAATTAATATTTTATGAACGTAAAAGGGGTTTTCAAACTTATTCTTTATATTCATAATATTTTGCTTTAGTACATCATTAAAGCCAGTTGTTTAAATTTGGAAACATGTTGTTTGTCTTTATGTCACATTAGGACATACAAATATATAGCTAGCTGCAATTGAATTTTAGGAAGTTGGTCCCTTGCAAGTGATCCTGATTTAGCCTATATGATCAACTCATTTATTTGGTATGTTACTGGTTGGTTAGAACTTGATTTGAAAATGTTCAGAATAGCATAATCTTTTAAAGTTTCAGTAGAAGCAAGAACATTTGACATTTTGTACAAAGGGATTCACATGATCAGTGTCACAAATTTTAATTTTTATATTAATTAGTGACATATTAATAGTGCCGAATCTTTGTTTATTTCCTATAAAATAATATACAAACTTTTAGTTCTAAGTATAGCGGATACTGAATGCTGGTATTGGGACAGGCATTTTGAACCATTGTTTCTGTAAAAAACTGTGAGCAGTGAGCACACATTCAGTATGCATAATGCAGTTAATCTCAGTGTAAATAAACCTTTTTCAGTGGCTCTTTCTCTTCTTCTTGATCTCCTAAACTTGACTTTTATCCCTTCACTCCTTGTCTGTTTGTTGTGCAACAGCAGCTCAGTTCTGTCTGCTATAGTGAAAATAGTATACTTGTTAAGGATTCAGATTTCCATGTGCTCTGGCTGGGATAAGGTCTCTGCTTCGGGATTGAGAGTCTTCTGGAATGTTTTGCTGAAGGCTGTTGTGGTCATAAAGTCTTATTTCCAGAGCCTGTGCTCCTCAAAAATGTTTGTATGATGCAATGTTTGTTATAACACTCATCATGGGATATATTTTGGTTAACTGCTGGCACAATGCTATGTCTGCCAGCCTATGCAGTAACAGGATTTTGTTGGGGTGTAAATGTGCTTGTTATCACAGGATATAGACTGGTAGTAGTCAGACATTATTGAAGGCTAAGTGATATATTTAGGGTGTTTGGTGACTACCTCATTGGACGTTCATTAATTGTATGGTATTATGTGGCATAAAATTGTCATATACAGCTAAGACAGAAGAACCCCCAAGGTCATGGCAGTATGACCCATTTTACAATTTTGATGGAGACCTTAAAGGAGAACTCCGGCGCAAAATGAACCTTTGGTCTAATAAAACATTGGTACCTAGTCAACCGTTCTCTGAGATTTGTTTTCATGATAATCGAATGTAAAGAGTTTTATCTCTAAAAACTGTTTAGCGTATAACGCTAGTAATGGGGGCATCTATTAAGTAAAAATAAATCGCTAGTTTATACCACTAACAAGGCTCAAAATAGCCCCACACTAACACAGTAACATAATGAGGGTCCCTACATGCAAAACGAAGCATTGAGAACTTTGTAAGTGTACAGACCGTTTAATAAGGAGATATTTTATGAAGACAGTCCACTTCGTGTATACAGACAGGAGCCATCTTTGGAAAACAGTCTCGACTAATCAAACCACGAACGCCATTCATACAGTTCAGAAGTTCACTGAACTTCATACAGTTCAGCTCACTTAGCACGTTGTTCGTGGTTTGACTATTCGAGACTGTTTTCCAAAGATGGCTCCTGTCTGTATACACGAAGTGGACTGTCTTTATCTTTATCTTCTTAGTAAACGGTCTGTACACTTACAAAGTTCTCAATGCTTCGTTTTGCATGTAGGGACCCTCATTATGTTACTGTGTTCGTGTGGGGCTATTTTGAGTCTTGTTAGTGGTATAAACTAGCGATTTATTTTTACTTAATAGATGCCCCCATTACTAGCGTTATACGCTAAACAGTTTTTAGAGATAAAACTCTTTACATTCGATTATCATGAAAACAAATCTCAGAGAATGGTTGATAAGGTACCAATGTTTTATTAGACCAAAGGTTCATTTTGCGCCGGAGTTCTCCTTTAACATTTCATTCATCTCATCTCTTAAATTTAAAAAAATATAATGTGTGAAAAGTGAAATATATTTAGTAAATGCTAGAAATCACTACCTGTCTAAAAATATAATGTGTGAAAAGTGAAATATATTTAGTAAATGCTTGAAATCACTACCTGTCTCACTGTACTGAGTAGACTATAGCAGTGCTGACTATTACCAAATCCTGGCATTTTACAGATGAATGATTTTTGTCTTTTCCAGACTTTCAGAAATAAGGCCTGCTGATTTTGAAACAAAAAGATTAGTCTGTTCCAGTTTCAAAGCTCTATCAACTCCCATTGCAAGTGCATTACTGTAAATGATTTTTGGCCATTTTGCAAACTGAGGGGCAAATGTTTTTCTGTTGGCACAGATGCTGTAGATAAAGCTTAGCCCAGAACATTTATCCCTATGATGCAGCAGCTGCTTTCATTTTCATACTGCTCTGTCTGCAAATTTCTGTTTTTCTAATGAGACACATTGCAATATGAAAATATACCCTGCCAATATTTCCACCTGCCCCACCACAATTTCTCTTTCTTTTAAAGGTTTTTTTATGTGCCAGGGGAAAATCTGTTGCATTTTCTTTAATAAAAAGGGGTTTAATTTAGTATTGGTATCGGCTCTGATACTGCCATTCTTTGCCGGCCATCTACAAATCGGGTATCGGTTGGGTATCGGTCAGACAGGATTATAAAGCACCGTAAAGTTTTTGTGCACTATATTCCAAATCTTCTGAAGTAATTCGATAGCTTAATGTGATGTACAGATGAATATTTAAGTCTTTAAATTAAAGTTCACATAAACGCTTCTCTTCGCTGCCGCTGTCAGTCATTCTCCATTAACTGCATGTCACGTTAGGTTACAACAGTCAGCACGGTATAACGCTCTCCAGGATCATTCAGTGTTCCCATTATTTGTAGATAAAGGTCGATGGTTTTGCATAAAAGTACTTTATCTCGAGTTTATTACTGTTTCTAAATCATGTCACTTGCTACCGGGTGTCTATTAGATCACAACACTGGAGTAGAATAGAAAAGACAATTGTTCTTCACGCGCACAGTAATTGAAATATAAAACTGTTAAAAGAAAAGGCT